GATTACCCATTTCTCAGTAAATATGCCTTATACAGGGAAGTATATGTCCTGAAATAGCGCCTTACTTTACCTTTACACCCCCTCCCCACCTTCCCCTATTATCTCCTAGTCGTAAATCATATTGTTTAAATCACATTGCTTACGTACATCAAACTGTAAAGGGAAATAACTTCTCTAACCATCTTTACCCCAGTTACGTACGGGTAGTACAGGCTAAATCGGGTGACAAGGGAGATAACTAGGAATGCTTAAAGACGCGGACATTCTTTAGTCGCATGGCCCTTGATGTACACAATACAGGTGAGTTGACTCACGTTGATTGCTCTTGTTTGTGAGATCAATTGGGCAGCGCAATTGTGTTTGTACTCTAGCCTTGGCCGCTTGTGTTCACGCTGATGTTTGATTGTCATTGTGCCTGCTGACGCGAGCTGATGAAATTAGTCCACCTTTTTTTACACCTGTGGGGCAGAGTGATTGCGTGTGTGAAATTAACTACTTTTGGTCTTACGACGCTTAGAGTTGTCTCAATTTTGATTTTCATCCCTGTTCGTCTTATTATTACTGTCATAAATGTGAATTAGGCGTCTGGTCTTATAGAACCAAATAGTAGTAAGAGGTTGAGTTATATATTTATGTAGCTATACTGTGAACGCTGTAATAAAAAGACAGATACTTTAGTCAGTTTGATCTCAGACCATAATATTGCGGAAAAATAAGTTGCCTTATAGAAAAAAAGTATCCTTAAAAAAAAAGACTAGCTTATAGGTCTGAAAATTAATATGATTATACATTACAATACACTGTATGATATATATATATATATATATATATATATATATATATATATATATATATATATATATATATATATATGCAGTATTTTTTGGGCGAACTGGGAATTTATCTTTCGGTTAGTTTACATCCTGGTTTAGGAGTCAAGTTTTAGAACAGTTGTTGATCAGGGTTTCTTTTAGACATTAGGTGGGGGGGGGGGGGGGGGATGAGGCATACTTGATGAAACTTTAGCGAAGAAACAGTTGACACTATACATTTGCTATATTAATTATGTATTGTTTCATCCGGTGGGTGTGTCGGGGTGGGGGGAAGGGACGGTCTCTTGAAATGTGGGGGGGGGGGGGGGGGGCACATACCTGAAAGAAACCCTGTGGTTGTTTCGTTTTGTTACAGCACACGTTCAAGCCCTCTTCAATGAAACTTCAAGTCAACATTTTGATAACATGCTAAGATTAGAAGAAAACAACCATATTTGGCTTAAGTAAAAATCCTTTACACGCCGAACAACGAACACTTTAAAAATAGGTCTTGATCAATGAATAATGTATTATTTAACGCTAGTCAGACATGTAGTCAAGTACTGCCTTTATTGCCTTTCTCCATCGACTCATGTTAACGGGGGTGGGGGGGGGGGGTGCTACGTGAAGTCATCTAAATTATTACTTGCCTGAGTGGGCAATAAATGAGTGAATAAAATAAAGGATTGCTGAGGATTTAAACAATTTTGTTCCTTGTTTAATTACTGGGTTCATATATCTTGTTGTGATATCATGCCGGACATTGTTTGTGTGCTTGTGGCTGCAATGGATGTCTTGTGATTTTGTAACTGATATAGATATTTTCTGTTTGAATTCTGTAGCTAACTGCAAACATTGAGAATATAATATGTTGTGATGTTGTAGTTGACATTGAGAATATGTGTTGTGATGTTGTAGTTGACATTGAGAATATAATGTGTTGTGATATTGTAGTTGACTTTGAGAATATAATGTGTTGTGATGTTGTGATTGACATTGAGAATATTATATGTTGTGATGTTATAGATAACAGCATATGTTGCAATATAATAGCTGGCAAATTTTATCTACTACATCCCACGACATACACCCCTCACTTTTAGCACAACTCTCCAGTTTGAGTCATTAGATCTGCCGGATCATTGATTTTTGTATCTGCCGTGACGTTCGTCTCACAGACATTCAACTGTGCCGGTGATTTACGGCAACTTGTGAATCACAGCGAATTGTATATCGCGTCAATCGGGTCGCCTGGTATTCAATAACAGCCTTTCTTCTTTACTGGGTATTAATTCACTAACTTGAAGGTGTTTTTAGGACGTGATTCATTGCAATATATCAAGGCACGCTGGGGGGGGGGGGGGGGGAATTTCTGTGCTTGTATTGTCCCTGTCCTACACACTGTGCTGTCAACTTGCCTCATGTAACAGCCATACATTTTACTTCAACGTGCTGTCTGAACACGATTGAAGCACTTATTACGTCACCAATCCACTCCTTCCCCCCATCCAAGCCGTTTCCTTATTAAGACTACCCACGGGCCTTAGATATCATTAGTTATTTTTAATGCTGTAATGATAGAATGGATGGTTGGATAGTAGGTGATAAGGAGCGCTGCTGATGTAAATCACAAGCTATATAGTTGTGGGTCTCGATCATGGTCTCCTGATCGGTATTAGGTTACTGACGTCTGATTCTAAAATTGTATGTGTATATATAGGTGTATATATCATATAAGTGTATATATATATATATATATATATATATATATATATATATATATATATATGCGTATGCATATGCGTGCACTTTTTTGTATATCAGAAAAAATCATAGCTCGCATGTCTGACACTTTGAGTTTACTCATCTCTAATACGTACCTGTCACAAGTTTCGTCATCAGATATTTAACTAACCACTGAGCTGTCCTATACTGACCACTGACCTGCTCTATAAAACCTGCAATCAGCTCCACCTAAAGACACTCCTATTCAGTCCTTTAACCTCGTTAAAGTAAACGTTAAAACAGTTTAAAATAACTTTGTCTCTAATCAGAGTAACCGCCCCTATCATATAAACAAAGTCCTTTAGTCAGCATTAAATCTCTCTCCCAAAATGTTTACCTAATCCAAAGTTTCTTCACTCCCCTGATCCAACCTTTTTGTTTACCCTGCGTTTGTCATGTAAAGAAATCCCCCACGTGCAGATTCGGCGTGCGCGTCTACTTTCACTCAGCTAATCCGAATCGATAAGTTCAATCAATTAAAGGGTAAAAAAATGTATTTCTAATCTAGTCTAAGTCGTGAACGTTATGTTTCTCGTTGGTCGATTCTTCTTTGGTTTTCGTTCATCAATCGTGGATTAGTTTAATCTGGTTTATGTTAATCTTTCGCCTTAAAGGATCAAGTTTTATGTGGATTTTTTCTTATTTTTTTTATGAGCTGCAAACAGGAGGTGGTAAAAAATTGTTTATTCGTGTTTTAAATGTCGTCATAATACTCGGGACATTTGCATAGGCGCCAGCAGGATTTGTTTTTCAAAGGTAGGTCACTCTGCCCCTACGGACAGGAACGCTAACTCGGGTAATTAATAATGTTGTCATTCACAGCTACTTGTTGTATTAAAGTGTTAACTAACTTTTGCCAATCTGCTGGCTCTCTTATATGAAACGTCTGTAGAATTGAGAAACAAAGTGTGTGTTGGGGGTGGGGGAAGCGAGTCCTGTAATTAGATATCCCACTTCGGGGGGGGGGGGAGTCCTGCAACTAGATTACCTCACCCACTTTAATGCTGTGTACATATCAGGTATTTAAAAAAAAAAACTCTGGCCGAGTTTGTCGTACTGGCAAGTCCTTGAGATTTGGCCACTCATTACCGTACTTGCCTGAAAAAATAACCAACCTCGTGACGACACCAGGCCGCTGAATATATAGAACATTTATGTGGGTAAACATGACGTAGGTCGAGTTTATTCTTAATCGTGCCAGATATTTCGTTTCAAAAGTGGACAAAAAAAGTGATTCATATAATTCTAGCAATGCGATTCAGTATCTCAGGTCTTAAGCATTCCATAGGTGTACTATTCAGACATTTTTATTATATTGAAAACTGATATGATAGTAGACCTACTAATACATCTATACGCAGTTTTTAGAAGTATATCACCATTCATGTTTAAAATGTATTTAAATTAACCGAACCTAGTTGTTAGAGGGGTGTCACCCGGTACGGTCCGCACCCCCGCCCCCCCCCCTCCGCTCTTATTTATTGTAAGTTTCTCTCAGCTTAATTTGTACATTTATTGTACCTCTCTAATGATTATTTTGTATAAATCAAGTTGATATCTTTACTATTATATTGGAACATTTGTACTAATCTACAGGATATTTTATAAGAACACACTTGTTCGGATGAAATGAATACTAATTCATTTCACCTCTTGTGCCAGTGTATAGGATGCTATAAATGTTTTCAAAGACTAAGTCTAGGAGAAGTGGTGTTGTAGAACGTTATTAACATTGTAATATTCAACCATAAAACCCTGATGAGAATGAGCAGTGGAGTAGTGTTGTCAAAGAATATTCTGTTACAGTGGCGTAGCGAGGTCGGGTGTCATCCGGTGCGGCACATAATGGTGTCACCCCCCAGAGGCGTAGCGACCCTTACCGGGGACAAACTTTCCTTTCAATTTTCGATTTGCACCCCCCCCCCCCTCAAACTTTCGATTTGCACCCCCCTTAAATTTTTCTCTACATGTTTTGCTATTTTTTGCCTTGGTGTCACCCCTCTAAATGCTGTCACCCGGTGCGGTCCGCACCCCCCCCCCCCTCGCTACGCCTCTGTTCTGTTACATGTTCAAGTATTATTACAGTATAGGTCGTGGTCTCACAACTTCATGGGCTTTTCGTGGTGTGTGTTTAGTCACATTTTCATGGGGCTTTTCGTGGTGTGTTTAGTGGTTTCTATTTAGTGGTGTCTGTTTAGTGGTGTCTGCTTAGTGGTGTCTCTTTAGTGGTGTCTTAACTCCAGGAGCTATTCGTGGTTGAAAAACTCTTCACGCCAAAAACTCTCACTGTCTCGCTATTTCTTTTTTTAAAAAAATCCAACTTTTATTTAAAAATAAACCTTATCTCACCCATACAAATGTATCGCACCAAACATAAAGTCGTGTTGTTTTCTTTCTACACAGATGCCGTGTGATCATACCAGACGACTCAATGGATTCGATCATAAATTTCGCCCAGTTGCATATCTAGGGCAGTATTAAGAACATCAATTAAAACTACAGCATAAAGCAAGGTCGGTAGAAGATTATCAACCAGAACAACAGCATTAAACTAGGGCCAGTTCAAGAACTCCAATTAGAACAACAGTGTATAAATATGGCCATTTGTAGAACTTCAATTCCTAGTCGTCATTAAAAATATAATAGCACAGAATCAAAACAACGACGATTACTCGACTAGTTATGTGTGATTGCGATGATTTTCTCGTAATTTAGTGGATAAAAAAAACACCCACAATATGCATAATACACATTTTCCGTTAAGGATCTTGGTAGGGATTCTATTGATGTCGTGCACTGTACATATATGGTCAGCAGTGGACGCCGAGTTTATATTGACCAACACCACAATTACAACATTAGCAGGACGAGGGTCAGTGCTCGAGTCTCACGCTTGCAACAGCTTTCTAGAATGTCGACAAAGTTTAAACAACACCGTATGCAAGGACAAAAACGTCTGCCAGGAAATTCTAACCTGCAATGGCAGGAACGGATGGCCAAGCGTGGAGTACCCAATGCAGACGTGGGACTACCACAACACGTCAGATAGATGTACTGTGATGAATAGCCTCCCCTTACCCTACCAGCCGCCTACATCTCACTGGGCAGGGTACAGAACTCTGCTGGTCAACAGCAGCAGTGCTGTGACGTCTGTGTGTTACTTCCACATGAACTCTTCCACCAGCAGCAGTTTTACTCTAGTCTTTTGGTTGTCAGCATCATGCCAGAACTGGTACGTTTGCTTTGGTACTTCTAAAGTCTCCAACAGGATTAGTACGTATATCTTCTCCAACAGTAGAAAGTTACAGACTATACATGATTTGCTAAATTAATAGGCTATTTGCCATTTTTTCTTCCCATCTCTGATGGTATCACCTTAGGCGTCATAATGTATATTCAACTCCCTTGAAAAAGCAGATTTAGCTATATTTTGGTGTCACCCTGTGCAGTCAACACCCCACTCCCAATCATTACGACGCTACTGTTATTTTAAATTAGAGATGGTGTTTTATATATAAGCCTATAGGCCTATTAACTAAAGTTATATGAAGGAGGTGGGTTTATATAAAAATTTTTTTACATTTTTATGTGCATGATATCTTAGGGGGAGTGTTGTCATCAATAAAATAATATGTTAAATGGCATGCTAACATGTATTTTTTAAAAATATATTTGTAGCTCAGTGCTCGAAATGAAACAAGCCAATAGTAAACCATCACTGTATCTACGAGCCACCAACACATCAATCTGTTTAGATCAACAACAGTGTGTTCAACAGCCTGATATCAAAACCAATCTTTCTGTCATCTTTGTCAGGGTATGTACTGCTCTATTTACTGGTGATTAAAGATTAGACCAATAATACATTCAATATTCCATTTTCATCAGGATAACTTAAGGGTTATTCACTTGTCATTAAAGATAATAAAAAACTTCAATATTCTATTTCCATTGGGATAATTGATGGTATATTAACTGGTGATTAAATTAAAGTAATAATACATTCAATATTCCATTTTCATCATGGTCTATTCATTATTCCCTTGTTTAAACTTGAATCCCATATAAAAATGAATAGCTAACATTGTAATTCAATAACATTGTTATTATATCTTCTTGTATATTTTTTAAATAGTTGGCTAAATTCAGTATTTATTTTGTTGCTAACATTGAATAACATTTAACTAATGCATATTTTCCTTAATAAATATTTTTCTATAGGTCATTGGAACTCAGCTGAAAATTTTCATAGGAAATTCTGTTCTAAATAAGACTGACATCAACATAACAGATCTTTACATTGGCACCAATGAAGGTAAGATAATCAATATATCTTTTCCACACAGCCAAATGTCAGTACAAGCTTTTAAGATTTATTTTACTTAATTTGGGATTCAAACAATGATTTTTTTGGTTACCAGGTCAAAAAAATGATGACCACTTTTTCATTTTTGGAGTTGAGTATTATAAAGATGCTCTTACAAACAGGTTGGTTTACGTAATTTTTTAGAAAGTATATGTATATACACATAACACAAACATATTATAAAGGCCTACATATAAATATATAAATCAAGATGTATTGTACCCTATGTATTTTCAGAGAGATGTCTTACCTAACAAACGGACAGAATGATACAACAACAGAGTTCAAGGACTGCCAGTGTCCAATAGATCTAGAAACATTGACCAGTGGTGACAACTGTACAAACAACATTTTGTCCTATCCTAGACTCAATCGCACCATCACATATTATGACTTGGGTGTTGTGTTCTTGAATTCCACAACTAAAAAATGGGCTTCACCAGATCATGGCTCTATCAATTTTACCATTAACTTAAATGGTTCTTTCCAGGTAAACTTAACTTAGCAGTACGAATTAAGCAACATGATATTCATTTATTAAACTTTTCAATAGCAAAATCTTTATTTTAAATTTATTTTTAAAATTAAAAAAAAAAAAATCTGTTAAATTATTCTTCTTTGTTTTTCAGATTGAAACAATATCCATTGCATTTGATTCTCAATTTCCAAACCAAGTTTATGCCACTTTCATCTCTAGTGAATCAATTTCCCCCTCAAGAAACTTAACTTGTGATAACAAAATTTGTAAACTGACAATGTAAGTCTGACCTTTACTTTACAAAAAAGTAGGCCCAGATCTGTTTTTAAAACAAACAAAAATGTTGTTTTACAATGATTCCCTCTATTGTCCCTCTGTTGTTAATTTTATACATAATAAAATAAAAGGATGTATTGACACAATCATTTTGTTAAAATATAAACACAGGTCATTTTTAAATAAAACAAGTCCAATTGCTGATTACATGGCTCAAATAGCAGAAAAAATAAACATCATATTTGAAAGAAAGAATAAAACTGAAGTCTACAGCTACATTATTTCCAGCATAATTATAACTGGAAGGTAAAATCATTTTTAAAAAAATAATTAATTATTTACTATAAGATTAAAAGTGGGGTTTAACATTTTTATCTGATAAAAATTGTTTTAATTGTGTGTCAAATTCTTCCTCTACTCTTATGAGATTGTAAAATAAATTAGCAATGAATATAAAGTGAAAACACAACACCATTGACTTTTAAACTAGATGTGACTGTCATGGAAATGCTGGGTACTGTTCAGAGATAAATGGAGACTACGTCTGTTCTTGTGAGGCTAGAACCCATACTCAGGGACCACACTGCCGGACATGTTCCCCAGCATACTTCCGCACACTTGATGATTTTGACTGCCCTAACAAATGTGACTGTCATCCAGATGGCGTTGTCAGTTCAGCAGATCCTTGTGCTCAGGTATTTGTTTTGACTTGGTTTTGGCTGCAGTTCATGTAGAAAAGGTATAAATAAATCTCATTGTCAATAAACCAGACATGCCTACCGTCCCGCCAAAATCGGAACCGTCCCGCTTTTTCACTTAAAAAAGTAATTTGTTCCGTCATTCAGAAATTGACTCAGTTGGTTCCGATTTTTAAAAAAAAAAATTAATAAAGAGAGGTAATAAAGCAAATTGAAAAAAGGCAGGAAAAAGCGATTATCTCCCTTTGGCACACGTTTCTGTTTACTAGTTTAATTACAATATTTACCAGCATCATCTAATACTAGATCTAGTTAGTAGTATACTACTACTAGATCTAGAATTGTAACTATATCTACTAGTTACTGGTTAATTTTTTTTTAAATGTAAGCTGACATTAAGCAGTATTTAAATGTATCCTAGAGACTAGTTATATAGGACTAGAAGCCTACTGCTGTCATTAGAGTAATTTTTAATTAATTATTTTTATTTTTGACTTAGTAAAGTTGCGTCGGCGCGTATGTTCCTCTTTTTGGCTTCAAATTCCTCATTTTAGGCATAACTGTTCCTACTTTTGGCTGATAAGGGTAGGCATGTCTGATAAACAGATAATATTAAGTATAACGTTATCATCTTACTATTTATCAATCTGGCATTTACCATTTTAAAACAAACACAATCATTTCAGTATCATTTCAAATTAAATATCTGATATATATTTTCACTGTTTGTTAAGATATTCTTAATTCATTCTGCTTTTTAACTGAACAATTTTTTTTATTTTTAGAAATCTATATCTTAAGGGACATAAAAAATTCATAAAAATTCATTATACAACGTTGCCTAGTTGTGTTAGATATCACAAGATAGCCTTTATCAAATTTCAAAAGTATTTAAAGTGGGGCTTGTTTTTTTTCTTTATAGACCAATGGAGTATGTAATTGTAAAACACACGTAAAAGGTGCTAGGTGTGACATGTGCAAACCTTTCACGTACAACCTAGCTGGGACAAATATAGATGGCTGCACACCCTGTATATGTAATTCAACTGGGGCACTTTCTTGCAAGTAAGTGTTTACACAAAAATGAAATAACATTCTTTTTTATACAACTTAGATATTAAATATTGTCTCTGTCATTTTTTCATAATAGATACTTTCTTTATATTATTCTGATGTCTAGCAGAAATGTCAAAATAATGGACTGTAAAATATAAATGTAACAGTCAAATAGCTCTAACAACATGTAATTTAGTGAAATAGCTTTAACAATATGTAACTTAATCAAATAGCTTTAACAACATGTAACTTAGTCATATAGCTTAAACAAATTTTAAAGAATTCTCATTAAACTTAGCTATAAGGGTTTTACAAAAAGCTTTAGTATAGTAAGTTCTCTAGTATTTATTTGAAATAGTGCACTTTATATTTATATATTTACTTTTTAACAACAGACATAAATTTGAATACATTTTTTAAAAGCTGAGTTTTAAAAGTAGGCTTTTTTATTTCATCCTTTAGATATATTCAATATAAAAAATGTATACACATTTATAAGATTTTAAAATTCCATTGTCTGGTTATATCAGTAATGTAACAGGAGCTTGCACATGCAAAAATAACACCAGACAGCCGTCTTGTGATGGGTGCATAGACGCCCACTACGGCTTCTTCTCACTAGAGGGATGTACACCTTGCTCCTGTCAGACCTCTGGCACTGTCAATCAAAGCACGTCATGTGCTGCTAGTACAGGCGCCTGTTTCTGTAAACAATTTGTTGAGGGTAAGTCATAACAAAATAATAGTTTTTGACTTATACTATGAAGTTTCTGATTTTACAAAACATATATTTCACAAAGAACTTAATTAAACTAAATATAAATATTAGACCCATGTATCATGTATTTATGAACTCTTCTTCGTCTGTCCAGTGGACCGCTTGGTCTAAAGAAGAACTGTACTTTACTTTTTTAAATCATACGAGCCGGCCCGCGGCATAACATACGCCGCTATTTAGTTGTCGTTTTTTCTACTTTTCAGTAATTCATAATTTGTGAATTCGACAGTACCAATGCTGACACTGAAAATATTTCTTTAAAACACTATAAGTAGCTCGTTAAGGACCATAACCCCCCCCCCCTTCCTTCCCCCCACCCTCCAACGTTTAAAATCGTTTCAAACTAAATTATCTGCCCCAGTGGCGTAGGCAGGGGGGGGGGGGGTTAGGGGGGGGGGGTCATAACCCCCCCCCCATAGACCCCTCAGTATATATATAAAAAGTATGAAGGGGGGTGCAAATCGAAAGTTTGAGGGGGGGGGGGGTGCAAATCGAAAGTTTGAGGGGGGGGGGGGTGCAAATCAAAAGTTTGTCCCCGGGTAAAAATTGGAACCCCCCCCCCCTTGAGACGATCCTGGCTACGCCACTGATCTGCCCCTAATAGCTGTCACTAAACCCGACTCCACGAAGGTAAACATAGTGTGAACCACAGCTCACTAAGACCATGTAGGGGTGGGGATGATAGGGAGCGCATTTACAGCTCGTTTTCTAGCGTCTCCCAGAACAGAATTATATATATAGATATTACTGAAGTTTTCATGAAAACAATAAATTTGTAGGAACAAACTTTTTAAATGATGTTCTCATTTCATTTGTGTTTTTATTTTATTTATTTTATATTTCAATATAACAGTATGTAAAAAGGGTTTTGTTTTTAAAATGTGATTTTTTGTGTGTTTCTTTGTTGTTTTTCTAAGGCCAAAAATGCGATGCTTGTAAAAAAGGTTATTACTACCTCGAAGCAGCAAACCTCTCAGGCTGCAAGTCTTGTACCTGTCATTTAGTCGGCTCAGAAGATGAGCAGTGTGATGCCAATACTGGCCAGTGTCCATGTAAAGGTGGTGTTGTTACAGATCTTGTTTGTGTAGGTATCTACCAACAAAACCATCTTTTTAATAGTGGTCTAATTGTTATTTTTCATTAGAGAACATCTATAATTACTTGCTTACACAGTGTAGATTTGTATTATTGAGTTGCAATTAGAATAATACATCTACAATAAGTAATCATATTTAATGTACCAATGAGCTAACTTTTGGAGCATTATGCAATACATGTACTAATTAATTAAACCAGAAGTCTTATGTTTATTTAAAATAAACTTTCAGACTCCAAAAATTGAGTCAGTAGATCCAACTTTTGGACCAGTCAGTGGTGGTACCTTGATCACAATCAGTGGAAAACTTCTGGGCAACAGAGAAGATCGTGTCTCCATATTTTTGGCCAATGTTTCTCAAGAAGTATTATCTGTGTAAGATTTCTTAAAAAGTGTTTTAGATGTTTGTTTATAAATTTTAGCAAACTACAACATTAAAAGGAACTTTTTAACACTAATTTGTATTGCTAATTTTTGCCCTTGCCCCTATCATAATAAAAATTTACCTCCAACTCTCCAATCAAAAATCACACTTTCCTTCAATATTATTTAAATTATATGAAATTGATTACACCTTTTTTCTAAAAATTTCAATTTAGTTGATTCCCTTTCAAAAAGGGAAATAATGCAATTGATTTTTAGTTTGTCAAAAGAACAAATATTGCTTATCACTATTTAATACCAAATATATTTTTAATAAAGGGCCAGAGTAGATAAATATATCAATTTTTAATTATATTTACTAAATTTTATTAAATTTTACAATAAAGTCTTTTTAGAAAGCAAAATAACTTCTAAAATACAGTAAAAATATAACTTTTTAATTGTGACACTATGTCACAAAATCTTATCTCTGAACTAACACTCTAGGTTTGGCATCTTGTATTGATGACCCACTAGTAATTATTATTTTTAAAACATGTAACTGACTATGCAACAATCTGGTTTTTAGTTGACTCTGGTATATATTTTGAATGCATCCAGATCTAAATTAATATTCCTGTTTTCCTTGTTTTAGATCTCAGAATCAGATTATCATTAAAACAAAAGAGCTCTCATTTCCGCTGTTCACAAGGCCATTGATTGTAAGCTGGGAAAAGGTTGTTAACCCCAATAACTCACAAATTAATTTTACTTATAAGCCTAATCCAGTAATAGAAACATCAAATGATTTGACCATCAACACATTTATGAGGTGAGATCAAATGGTTTCCATAGAAACTCATATTTAGCATCATGGCTTATTTAGATTTGTAATCTGGACTCATTTTTAAAGATGGGATTATTTTAATTTTATCATCGGTATTTTGAATCAATTATTATATTAAATAAAAAAATAAAAGAAAATGAAGATTTATTTCAATATAATTTTTTTGCTTAAAGATGTAATTTTAATTTTATTATCAGTATTTTAAATAAACAATTAACATATCAGAGTCTATATTGAATAAGCAAATAGAAGAAAATTAAGATTTGTTTCAATATAATGTTTTTTTCTAACTTTTTCATCACAAGTTGGTTTGAAAGTGCAATAAAATCATTTTTCATCTCAGTGGTGGTTGTGCAGTACCAATCTATGGCAGTGACTTACAAAGTGTCAAATATCCATTCCTGAAATTAGCAAGGAATGTGACCACGGATCCAATTGGGGTAAAACTATCTATTTGAAAACATTTTCATTTATTTATTTTTATTTTTGAACAGATATCTTTATTATTGTCAAACTTTAAAATCTTTTAAGATGTAACATGTCTACATCATTTTGTTAAAATATGTAAATTTACGTGTTCCTATATTTTTTAGACTTGCCGTCACAACTATGACAATGTCATTTGCCAGACACCAAACTTAAATAGAACAAAGACAACACCCAAAGAGAGTTTGCAGATAAAAGCTGTGTTTGACAGCATAGAGGTAACACTTGGAAGCTTGAATATCCAGCCAGATCCTGTCTTTAATGACATGGGAAACATCAGATTTCAGTACCCTTTTGAGGACACCATCACACTATATGTAAGTTTGTCAAATTTGGTTGTTTACTGTTTATTTTATTATATTTAGTGCCAAAGGGTTGGTAAAGAAGTACCTTGTCAGGTCTGATGGGGAGAAGTTGTGGCTGATGAAGTAGAGTTCAACGTTTTCTTTGATCTCTCCGTATAAATGATTGTGTCAGCATCACACCATCAGCTTTGCTGTCCCTAACTGGAGAGTTTGGTTCCTCTCAATGCTAATTGGCTGAATTAGGTACTCAACTGAGTAGACTTAGGAGGAGTGTGAGAACCAAACTTAAGTATTTTGGCCCACCTAGTAGGCCTTGTATACAACTAGATAGTGTATTTCTATTTATTTATTTTTTGTTTTATTTGATACGAGCTGACCCGCAACGTAGCATACGCCGCTATCTACTTGTTTTATTTTTTACTTATCAACAATTCATAATTTGTGAATTTGATACAGGTGGCGATGAGGGTGGTGGCTAAGTTGCGTGGTGTTTTCTATGGTCTCCATGAAGAGGATTATATATTTGATATTCCTTTTCAGAATAACATTTATTTTTCCAAACATTTCACAATATCTGTTTAAATTACAAGACTGTCTTTTAGTTCTGGCAATTTATTGAAAATATTGTATTATAATTTTGAAAGATTAAGGTGACAAATTAATCTTTCTATGTTTATTAATAAGAATTTTGAAAAATGTTACTGAGGAGTATTTGATTGTTTAAGGGCAAGGATCTAACAGGTGGATGTAATGTGAAGGAGTACAATGTGTACCTAGGGGTGATCAGCTGTGGCATTGTCTCAATCTCAAGCACCCAAATAGTCTGTCAACCTCCGGTCTCTCCATTAAGTGGTGAAAGGAAGCTAACTTTAGAGGTGGGTTATATAAAGATTTTAGTTATACATTGTTGGAGGATAGGTTATCTACGAAGTTTGTTTGGTAATTAAAGCTTAGACATAAGTTTTAGTTTATAAGATTGTAGCTGTATAATGTATAGATGTAAGAGAAAGAAAGATTGAATTATTTGTAGATAGTAGGTGGATTATTACAGGCACAGATTTTTTGGAAGATTATAGAGTCAAGCTGAATGTATAAAAATTATTATGTTGGTTAAAATGGGTGGCACTAAGTTTAAGAAACTAGAATAAAAGCACAGTATTGAGGTAACACATTTTGTAGAAAAACAAAACATTTTGCACATTCTTTTGTAAATACAATTTTATAGAAATTAAACTCATGTAACTTAGCAGTTGTATTTTTTATATTGAATTAGGATACAGATAAAAATTGTTTAAGTTTAAATTTTAAGCATGTAAGTAAAGAAAAAAAAATTGTATCTTTGTGATGTAACTTTAAATACTATTTTTAAACTCATTTATCTAATTTTTTTTACAGATCAGAATAGGTAACATTAGGAAAGAAGTTGGGACTATGGAATACCTGGATCTGCATGAAACAACTGGCTTTATCATTATAGTCAGCTGTATTGCTGCTTTCATTTTTCTTGTGTTCCTAATAATACTGATTGTAATATTCTGCCGCTGGTACCGCAGAAGAAAGAACGCCACCACCAACACGTTTAACAACTTGGAGACTAAAGATCCTGCTGTTTCTGAAAACCCTGCAATGAATACTTACACTGAATGTAAGAGATGTTGTTGTTCAAGGGAGATAAACATATTACTACCCTGTAAAATGCCCCCTAGACATTTCCCCGTCATTGCTTTCAGGTTAATTACCCTCTGTCAATTAGCCACCCCCCCCCCCAGTACATAGCATGTCCATCCAAAAAAAAACTGCTGTAGGACATCACATTATTATATCTAATAAGCATATGAATAAAGTTAAGGATAAGTTAAGGATATGTTAAGAATTAATTAAGGATATGTTAAGGATAGTTAAGGATAGTTAAGGATAGTTAAGGATAAATTAAATATAAATTAAGGATAAATTAAAGATAAATGAAGAATATATTAAGGATAAATTAAGGACATGTTAATGATAAATTAAGATTAATTTAAGGATAAATTAAGGTTAATTTAAGGATAAATTAAGGAGAGGTTATGGTTAAGGTCTGGATATGCAGATGGCTAGGGATAACTATAATATGTATTCTCCATGGGATTGGGGGAGAGGGGGATAAATACCCAAAGGTAATTGATGTGATTGATGATAATAACCAGATGGTGCAATTGACCAGGGTTGGGAGTAATATCATAGATGTTTTGCTTAACATCAACCTATTATATGTCAAGTATTTTTATAAAACCATTTATTCATTTAAGCCATGTTTACTTTTTAATTTATTTTTACCACTTTGAATATCAATTTATTTTCCTAACAGTGACAGCTGATGCTGCACCAAAAGTAAAAGCTTCCAATGGCCATAACATGCCCATACAGATGGTGACAATCATCAAAGAGCCAAAGCTTGGAATAGTCAACACCTCATATGAAGATACAATGTTGATTGAGGAGTTTTTACCCAAAGCTGAAGTTGGTCTAAGGGACGACATCAAACAGTGTTACATTGCTAGTGGATACTTTGTGTTAGGCAGAACTTGCTTCATCAAAGGTATTACAATAATTTACATATGAGCTGAATTAAATAAATTAGACAGGGGTTTTAACTAGTTATACCATAATATAAAATTACCAAATGAACAACAACATTAATGTTGTGTTTCTTCATACAATCAAAACTTTTATTACACATTACAAATAATATTTATAATCAATTAAAATCCTTGTTTTGGTCAACAAATAATTGGGTAATTTATGCTGTATTGATAATAGATAGCTAAATAGACATTGGATAAACAATTTAATATTTATCATAATATGTTTATCTTGTACCAGTGGTAGGCTTATTGTGTTGTGAGTTTAGGTTTTCTCTTTTCTACTTTATGTAGGTATGGCTGAAAAATGTTTGTTTTGAATTTTATTTTAATGTATTTAGTATGATTGGAAACTCTTAATAAATAATTCAAATGCAAATATACTTGGATTTTCAGCCCTTTATTTCATGGTTATATTTTAAGCTGTCATTTTGTATCTTTGTTCCCCAGGACAACAAGCTTTACTTACAGATGGTTCATTACAGAACACAAGCAGCACATCAGGTCAAAAGCTGACAATAAAATCTCTCATCAAACCTATCACAGGTAGGTATTTAAACACAAAAGTTGGTTCTGACAGGTAGTTTAACAAATAAATACGTTTACAGCTTGCTAAAAATTAATGTATCTTTGTCATGCTACATATATAGATACATTATAAAACACATAAACATTTATTTTAAACAATAAACACAACTTAATTGGATTTTGTTTTTAAATTGACTATTGATACTAAATGCCACAAAATATTTTTTATTACAGAATCAGAACTTCCAACCTGGGCCAACATAGCCTTAAAAGAGAGCCTCCGCTTGAGGCGCTATAAGCACACACATGTCTTGAGTATACTGGGGATTGGCATAGATAAGGAGAAGTTCCACATCCTCTACCCACACATGTCACAAAATATTCTTAAATCTGTCATAGCTGACTTGAACAGGGTAATTAGGCCTGTATTCATGTTGTCATGGCAATAAAAAAACTTGAGTAGTTTGTCATTTATGGGATTTTCCAATTACATTTTGCATAGTTTGTGTTCAGGGGTGGACTGGCCTGCCAGTCTACTGGAAAAAATTCCAGTGGGCCCCCTAGAATAAATCTTAGTGGGCCCCCAGTAACAATGCTGTAATAATTCTATTAGACTTAGAATTAGACTTCTCATTTTAAATAAACCGGTAGTGATCTCCCCTAAACTTTCTCGAATATTCTTATATAAAACAACAGGGGATGGTAACTGGGGATATAGTTATGATTTTTAATCCATTTTAAATACTGAAACTTTTAAAAATAGAATAGAATCTCAGTAAAAAACAATTGCGCACCAAGCGAACGCCTAATAAAGGTGTGTATAATAGTGCGCAATAGTATTAGTACTAGTATTAGTACTTAATAAATTTACATTAGTTTTTTGAGAAATCGGAAGTAGCGTAAATTACTACTTCCGGTCAACGGAAATTACTCAAAATTTAACAGAAGGTAGAGAATTAGATCTTTTACTTACATGTGAAATTTCATTTATCTATCTGAAATAGTATTCAAGTTATAGGCTTTTGAAAAATTCAAAGTAGAAAAAGTCCCACTTCCGGTTGTCGGAAATCGCTCAAAAGTTGATACGGATCTACGATTTTGATATAATACTTATATATGAAATTTCATCAACCTAGCTGTAACGGTACTCAAGTTATCGTGTTTACACACGGACACACAGACACACACACAGACACACACACACACAGACATACGGACAAGATTGCAAAATTATGTTTTTCCGTATCAGTGAGGTGTAAAACGTCGAGATTTGTAAAAATCTCGATTTTTTTTTTTTTGCACGATTACAATACTTTCTCTATACTACGTATATACGAGAAAGTAAAAAATGTCGGTATTTTACCATACCTTCAGGCTTTAAAAGAGAAAAGATGCAAAAATGAAAATTTCAATCTGGGTTGGTGCCCCTTGTAAAATTTCCAAGGCCTCTTTGACACAGACAGTCCACCCCTGTTTAGGTCACAATTAAAATGTGTGTAATTTTGTTTCTCAGGAATTCAGCAATCACCAGCTGTTGAGCTTCTGCCAACAAGTAGCTGATGGGATCAAGTTCCTTGCCTCTAAAGATGTCACACATAAAGACATTGCAGCAAGAAATTGCATGTGAGTTTTGGGCACTTCTCTGTTAGCCTTGCCCACATCTAGTTGCACCAATAACAACATGAGCCATCAATAACATCAGCCTTATATTTAGATAATAAAAGATGTTTTTTTAGTTAACCTCATAGCTAATGATGTAATGGCACAGTCAGATGGTAGAGCATATAAATGCTAACCCGAAAGTCTGAATCTCAGGTTTTTGTTCATATAATGTCCATGAATACACCCAGCTGTGATGGGTAACTGACTTAAGTCAGGGTAAGTAAAGGCGGCTGGGCATAGTGCTGGCCAAATAATCCCTTCATATGTTGAGGGCTCTAAAGCAGGTGAACTCTACTTTACCTGCCCCTTGGATTGTCAGGTTTGAACAGGTACTTTTTACAGCTAATGATGTTTTGTTTGAATACTTAAGATCAGAGACTTGAAGTACTACACCAATTATTAAAAAAAAAACTATGATTTAAAAATCTATGGTACAATATTTTATCATTTTAGGGTGGATGAGTTTTTAGTGGTGAAATTAAGTGATGCAGCATTTTCATGGGATTTCTACCCTAACGAGTATGTGTATGATGAGCAGAGAGAAAGGTATTTGCCTCTAAGGTGGATGGCTCCTGAAAGTTTAACAGATGGATATTATGAAATGAGAACAGACGTGGTATGTTGCTATTTTATGCTGCTTAGTCTCTAGGCTAATTAAACTTTAAACATTATGTTAAGTTAATTAAAAAATTATTTAAATAAAAATTCAGATTTGTTTTAATTTATTGCATAATTATGAATCTTTTAAAACAGTTTACAGTATAATGCATGCAATAGCTGGAGTTTGATCAGTTTCCTGAAGTTATTAGTTACCTTGTTATAAAGCTTACATATAAAAAGAATGTCTTTGTTTCAGTGGTCTTTTGCTGTACTAGTCTGGGAACTAATGACCAAGGGAAGTTTGCCCTACCCTGATGTTAAAGATGAAGATGTCAAAGACTGTGTGCTCAATGGGTACATGTTGGGGAAGCCAGATGATCTTTCAGAGGATCTGTGAGTTGCAACCATTTGTAATAGAACTAACAGGAGTAGGAAAGAGGGCGGGGGGGGGGGGGTGGTGTGAGTAAAACCATTTGTAGCAACTGAAGGGAGTGGGAAAGAGGGAGGGGGGTAGTGTGAGTAGAAACCATTTTTTACTGAACTGAAGCATTTTATTTTACTGTAGGCCTGAGTCAAAGTGTCAGAAGTCTGCAAAGTCGAGTATATTTGTCAACCTTCCCATTGTTCTGATGTTTAAGCCATTGGGGGGAGGGGAGAGGGGTACTTTATATGACATTTGGGGAAGAGATGAGTTAAACAGAAAGCTTGATACCATTTATTGACAGCTTCTTGACATTAAAATTACATTTGCTTGCACTTTATAATAGCCTTTTAATTTTACTGTTCTTACAAATTGTGTCAAAAATTGTGTTGTACAATAGCTACATTGAAATAATGTGCCAGTAAACTTTGTTGTTGTACAATAGCTACATTGAAATAATGTGCCAGTAACCTTGTTGTGTGAATCCTTGTGTCACAGGTACAAGTTATTGTGCAGCTGCTGGTCCAGTGAAGTAGAACACCGCCCATCAATAGCACACGTGTCTCAAGTATTAGGAGAATATCTTGAAACTGATGATAGTGGAGAAGGTATAAGAAACAATTCACATGCTAGAAATGGCATTGGAAGCTTTTTGGCTCCTGTAGGAAATGATACTATTTATAGCACTACTAACATGAGCAAAGTATAAAAATGTATTGCTTACAAATATACCCCTGTTTGTTTTTATCATGTATTTCACACCATTACATGTGTTCTAAGTTAATCATTTTCTAAATTTTCTTCGTTAATTTTCTTGAATAAAGAGTTTAAATAAATCCAGAGCAATAAAAATAAAAAGCAATGCTCAGACAAGAATAAGAATCTTATTTAATATTAAAAAGTAAAACTAGTTTTTTTTTAGGGAAGATGATTCAACACCAGTTTATCAAGTTTTTAAAAAGATGTAAAATATAAAAAATTAACAGAAAAGCAGCATAACTAATTACATTTTTACAAAATGGTAATGCCCTTAACAACTACCTAACCATTATATGGTAAAACTGCTGATATAAAGTAATGATTGTTTTGATGGATATTATGTTACTTTTATTAAAATACTCAGTACTAATTTTCTTTGAATATTGACAAATAATATATTAATTAAGGTACTATTTTAATATAAATTTTTAATGTAAATAATGTAAACCATTAACTAAACATAGTTTAATGTACCATTGTTGCAGCACTGAATATTTCAAGTTAAACTTTTATAAAATGAGTTGTCCTGGAAAGACCAAATTTGTTAATTTTGCTACAGGCTACATTAAAACTGCACCTTGTTAAAAGTATCTGGCTCAAATATGTAAAGCTGATGTCTAAGTCTTTCTAAAGTATTATTTAGGGAACATCTATATACCTAATGTTGATGACCTCAGGTCTGGGTTAAGAACCCTTATGTCTAGGAATTTGATAGCTTTGAAAATCTTAAATTAATTAATTATATACACCAGTAACCTTTTAAAAATAATTGAAATGATCCTATGAACTATAAGAACTTGTTGATACAAAAAGTGATTAGATAAACTTAAGCATTGTATTTTCCAGGTTTGCCTAATATTTTCAGATTACAAAAAAGTTATTTTTTAATAGTTTTGTTTATAAAATAAAAAATACTTTCTGCACAATTGTTTTCTCTGTGTAGGCCTAAAATTTACTTGCAGTTTGAAAACTGTTGTATGACAAGTTTTTATTTTTAGCAAAACATTTTTCGAACTTTTACATCTCTTCTTCAACATATCTTATAATGTATAATGTTTAATTTCATTTGATTTCTAAATTAGTAGACAGATTTAGTTTAGCTATTCATTATTTTTTATAGGTATTTCTCTTTCTACTTAACCAAAACATTTGTTTATAACCTTCTACCACATTTAGTGAATGTGATCTTTTTATCTCACATGAAAAAATAAACACATGGCAATGCATTTTTTATTTTTGAAGTTAATATTTTACTGGTATTTTAATTAAAAGCCTTTATCACATTGTGTAAGTAAATTAAAATACCAATAATTGCATTGTTTATAATTATTATTAGTTTTAACCTTAATTTTATTTTAAGAAGATGTTGCATGCATTTCAAGATTTTGTGAACAAAAATATGTGGCAGTATTATACATGCTGCTGAGTTTAACAGTGTCAATAATATGTGGTGTAGGGGCTACAACAGAAAAATACAAATCCTGTGTTATGAATGGCTGTGTATAGCCTAGTATACAATGAAGATTTTGATATTCTGAACATTTACATCTACAATAATGAGGGTTTCTTTCTCACATTTAGCTCTATGAGGCAGGGCAGTTATAAATTTGACTAAAAAACATATTTTCTAGTTAAAATTTCAATTTAATGACTTTTTAATCTTGCCTAGTAGATAGGGGGGTTTGGGTAGAACATGTTCTGGAAATATTCCTGTTAGAAAAAACAACAACACCGATTGGCGATAATAAGTCCAGACTAACCTAAAGATTGTTTTTACTTTTCTACCAAGATACACAATTTAAGCTAGCTTGTATTGGGAAATTTTTCTGAGGAGATTGTAGCAGAGTAAGTACCTGTTGTATTGCACCTGTATAATTGTCAGAAGTTATATGTAGCAATGAAATCATATACAATGCTTAATTGTAATATCCGTATGAGTATTCATACACTGCACAGGTTTAAAGTCCCTATGTAGAAGGCTTGAGAGTGACATGGCTTTAGAATTTCAAAATACTTTATTAAATGTAACATTAAAACAGTTTACAAGAATTTATCTAGGTCTTTTTAGAAATAGCATGAGATCAGTGTAATAACTAAAGCTGTAAGTCCTGTTTGTTGGCATAGCTGTTCATAAAATGTGCAGAATTCTTTGCTCAACCATGGCCCTTTAAAATTTTGCTGTATTCCGGTAATTAGTTGAAGTGTAATAGACACTACCAAACAAAGGGACTGAAACAACTTGTACTAGTGTATCTTGTATTATCTACTTTTTAATGTTGCCAGAGATTTAATTGTAGATGTTTGCATTACATTGAATTTTTAAATTGTAACCTAAAATTTAACTTACAATAATTGCAAATTTATTTAGATTACTTTTTACCCTGTTGCAAAAGCCTTTCTTAAACAAAGTTACTGAAAGTACCTCTGCTATATGTTTGCAAAGCATGCTTATTATAGATGATTGTATATATTCTTTAAAAACTAAATATTTTCAGCAAGAAAATAAAATCATTGAAAGGAAGAAGATCTGCAGGAAAGATGCAATGATGAGTAAGAGTAGCTGCTCTTGTAACTGTGTATTATATTTATGACTTTGAAGATGGTCTTTCATAAATGTACATAGTTCTGTCCCATTCTGTATTTAATAATTTATAAGTAAGATATATTTTTATATTAGCCCATAATAGCCAACTAAGTCAAAACATTCCAGTATTTCAAAACAATATTTATTGTAATAAAATAAAAGTTTTTCACAAACTTTGATAATGCAAAAACTGAAAGGTATTTTTTAAAAAGATTATTTGGTTTCTTAGTCTTAATTGTCAGATGATATTAACAAAATTAAAAAGATATAGCAATCTTGGGCGTTTATACCATGATATGGGTAAAATTGTCAATATTGTTGAATTGTTATATTTTATTATGACAAAGATCTTAAAATGAAACAGATCTTAATTTAATTTAAAGTGTATTTTTGTTTTGTATTTGATTTCATTTATGAAAATGAGTACACATATTTCCAATGCACAACACAGTTTAAATTATCATCAATTGTATAAGTAACCTATTTTTTTCAAACTAAAATTTTATATTCATGTTTATTATTTAGGACACAACTTGATAAGTTAAATATACACTAATAGCAGATTATTTACATTTTGTTAGTACATTATTAAATTATCTTAATTAATCATGCAAATATAATGTAAAATTATGTCATAAAAGTATCTACAAATAAAAGCTTTCCTTTTTTTAATATCATGCCTTTTCTGTGTTGTAATTTAAGTAAAACTTGTGAGGTTACAGATTTTCTAACAAAATATTTTGTGTATTTGTACTGTGAATGTTACAAGTGATATTTATTCATATTCTATTGTCTTACACTGTTTGATAGCAGAATCAAGTTAGGTATAAAATAATAGTTGCTTAGCAAAGAACCAACTATAATATCATCTACCTACATGTTGGGAGACATGGCAACAAGTGAAATCAACTTCATTAGCCCTATGTACCAGTATTTCTGGAAGGATAATCCAATTTATAGAGTTTTATTTAAAAAGAAAGAAAATAAGTACCCTAGGACTTTTAAAGCATGAAAAGTTTATTTGTATAAAATTACAAATAATGAACAAAACATTGGAACAGAATAACACATATTTTACACAACTATCTTCAAATAGCTGAACATTGCAAATGTTAGGGATGGAAAATGAACATGAATTAAGCATTTTCCAACTTTAAGATGTACAATTTTGTATCATCCTGGATTAATGAATAAACTCTAAATAATGAATAAGAAAAGATATTCAAAATTTCGCTCCATTATTTTTTAATTGTCCAAATATCTCCTCATTCAAAATGGCAGTGTAGTATCTCCTCCTTCATTATTTGAGTCTAACAATTTCCTCATTCAACATTGGGGGTGTAGTATTTCATGAGTCAGCTTTGGGGTCCATAATATCATCGTCATCATCCCACTGTGGTGATTTCTTGTCTTTGAGAACTTCAACTTGAACTGGTTCATGTGAAGCTGCAGTCATCCATGTAAAGATGCTCCTCTGTGGGTTATTTGAATAAAATTACATTAGACAATCTGGTTTGTAATAATACAGAATTGAACTATAACTTAGCCTACATGAACATCAAGTCCTAGGGTTTTTCTTCATTTAAAAAAAAATGCATCAATACTATAGGAATATATTTAAAGTACTTAACAGAGGTGAAAAAAATATAAACACACTATGGATTGAGATGCTTCAAACTTCTTCTTCTTCTTCGTTCTTAATTTTTAGTGTTGGGAGGGATCAAGCCTTATCTGCCAGAGGGTTTAAACTCAAGACTTTTTTCAAATTTAGCAACCATGAGCTTTGCCGACTTGACCATGCTTCCATCACAATTAAGGATTATGTGTCAACTGGTTATGCGCCATTGAGGCCATTGACTCCGATTTCAGCCTGCTTTTCTTTTTGGATTTGCTTCCATAGCCTTTGTCCAACCAAGAACAAACTACAAGGCAGCAGTTGTTTAATTTTGGAGTTGTCTCTCCTAGAAGAGTGGCTGTCCCCAGCAAACGAGCCTCATCTGCCAGAGGGTTCAAACTCGAGACTTTTCTGTTTAGCAACCATGAGCTTTACCGACTCGACCACGCCGACCCCTATGCTTCAAACAAAACTTCTAAATTTAATTGTAACAATGAATAGTTGTCTCACAATTGTAAAAGAATGTAACTCAAGTAAAGTAATAAACCTGTTTGCTTTTAGAATTCTGTACTGTCATTGACCACTTCACAATCAAATGGTTTATGCTGCCTTTTACCTGGATTTAGAAATAAATATTTCATGTTAAATAGGTTAAAACATACTGACTTTAAATACACATTTTCATGGGGTAAGGTAGTTTTAAAGAAAATATATGACTAATAATAATAAAATATAGTGAAAACTAATGCTTTCTTGAAAGAGAGTTCATCTTTACCTTTGAAGAGTCTAATTTGTCCATATTGTCTTTTGTTTCATTCATGACAACCTTGATTTGGCTGATCAAATTTTCTAGATCAGGCTAAAAAAAATGTTCACACTTATATAGTTTAGCCACTTAATGCAGACTTACTTCATCTGTTACCCACATCCCCAACTATACCCATTGCTAACTGCCCTCACCTCCATACAAACCCAAATCACGAAATTTATATATATTTATAAGAAAGTTATGTCATTCAATTCAAATTTTGTTTTATGTAATGAAACTAGCTGCATAATGCAGAATAATAAGTTAAACAGTCTATCATATAGAACGGATGGTTCATTGGGTGAAGGAAATAGAGATCATCTGTTGATCTGTTGGGTTGAATAGTCGAGTGTTTGACTTTGGTTCACATCCATAACAAAGCTCTGATAGGTATCTGATTCATGTTAGGGAGAGTAAAGATGCTGACCACACGTTCCATTCATATGTCAAGGTCTCTGAAACACATGAATCCTACTTCGCCTACTCTACAGACCATTAAGAGTACTTGATTTTTTAATTTTTTGTGTTGACCTCTGAACTTACCACTGAGTCGACCTCTGAACTTACTACTGACTGAGTCGACCTCTGAACTTACCACTGACTGAGTCGACCTCTGAACTTACCACTGACTGAGTCGACCTCTGAACTTACCACTGACTGAGTTGACCTCTGAACTTACCACTGACTGAGTCGACCTGTGCAGCTCCGCCCCAACACACCCATCCAGCAACTCTAGAGCAGAAGACAGTTTATACAGGTCAGTGCGGACAAGCTGCAGTAGGCCAGTGGTCAGGGCAGGCTGGTTGTTCTCACTGGTAGCCCCAAGGTTTAAAATATCTGAGAGCTACATTGTGAAAACATACATGTTAGCCACATTGAAAAATATAAGAGTAAAATATATTCACATGTATTTATAAATACTTAATCAATCAAAAATTTAAAAAAATAAAAAAAATTGTGGATATCCCTTGAACTAAAAAAAACAAACTTGATCATTTCACAGAGAAATTATTTTTTCAACATTTTAAAATTGTTGTTTTACACTGATGAAAACATACATACAAGAATTAAACATTATGATTCTTAAATTGTATGACACTTAACATACAAATTAAATTATAAACTTTAAGAAAATATTGTACTGTATATCACTACTAAATCTAAAAACTGTAAAACAAAACAAAAAAAATTAAATATAAAACAAAACAGTAAAATCAAGTGTCATTACTTTCAGGTCTAGAAGTTTCTCTATCTGAACCTCATCAGCTATGAGTAGCTGACGCAAGAATAAATAGCAAAGTCGACTTTTTAAATAACATCCCCTTGCACTACTTTGTAGCAACTCTGTAAGATAGCACTGGTTGTGATGGTCATCTGTTAGCTTGGACAGCTTCATACACAACTCTATAGCCTAAGTTTAGATTAGTTCAGAAAAATGGTTACACAAAAAAAAAAATAACCACAAAAATCCCCACATAATACAATATTTTCAAAATTCTAGTTCCTTTGCTGTACAAAAAGTGAAGATCAGATATGAACATACCACTGATGGCCACTCAGATAGTGTGTAACACTCTAATATGGAGCTTAAGCACCTCAGAAACTCATGACAGCTTAAACTGTTGATTGAAAAGGAAAGATGAGTGGAAAATTATTTTTAAAAATAAGTAATGCAGATAGTACAAGGTTTATGCAGATTTGATTAACACTCATTTAAAGGTCAAACTGGTTTAAACAGGTTTGATTTACAAATATTCAAAGGTGAAGGGCTAAGGTTAGAGGAAAGGTACATAATATTTATAAAAAAACAAAACAACAATAGTTGTCAGAGATTCACCATCATGTATTAAGACCACTATGTTATTTATGAAGAAAGCCAATGTTCCAGATCACTGTGTGAAACATACACATGTGTGCAGAGGGCAACATGCTTAAAACAAATAAGGCAGTAAAAGGATGGTACATACATTTTAGTCTAGTATGGGATGTTGCCAACTAAATTTCTGGAAATTTAGAGACTTCATAAACTCTGAACTTTGCTAGAGCAAAGTATATTCTGCATAATTCAGGACATAAAAAACTTAAATTGATTGAATTCTTTCTTTTATTCATTAGATGCCTTATTCTATTGGTTAGGGGTCATCCATTTATGATGTCCACACAAAAATTGACTTTTGTGGACCGGTGTGGACTTCTAATAGGGAATTAAGTGGACTTGGGGGTGGTGGTGGGGGGTCCAAAATCCAAAAAAATTTGTGGACGTCATAAATGGATGACCCCTTAGAAACAACAGGCAGAAGAGTGAATGAGAAATGTTAATGAAAGAAAACTATTGTTGCCATCATCAGGGTAAATGTGAAAAAATAAAAATTAATGTTACAAACATACGTAACACAAATTTTACAAACCTTTGAAATGAGATGTCTAATGATGTTTTAGCAAGCATCAAAAACATCAAAGTCAAATCTTCCTTGGTCAATGGAGGTCTAGTTTAATAGAAGAAAAACAGATGCAACAGCTTTATATTTTTTTAGTATTGTTTATATCAATAAAATTGAGTATTCAAAGTTAAAACTTTTGAAGAAGCTAAGAAAAATTTAAAAAACAAGTATGATCTATCTTAAAATGTGATAGACTTTCTATTTTTACATCAAACCATAAAGACATGCAAAAAGTATGAGTTTAAGAATAGATTTTAAATGTATCTGAAGTCTACACATTTAAAGAAGCAGAAGTCTACACATTACATGAAAATGCGTGACTTTTAAACCCAGTTTCCCATTGGAAAACCATCTGTTGGTTGCACTGTTCAACACAGACCAATATCCCACTAAGCTTTTGCCCCTAATGACTGCTTATACAGTTGTGCAGGGATTGAGTTTGGCTTAGTGTTAACTTCCATGCATAAAATATATTTCAGTTGCACATTGAATTCTAACTATTACAAAAGTAAAAAATAAATAGTGTGGCAGTAGTCAGTATTAAAAATGGGTTTAAAAGGATGTAGGTTTATCAAAAAATATCCCATATCTAAATTAAATACTATTTACTATCACACACTGAATATTCTAGGATATAGGCCTACCTCATTTGTACAAACAATGTTAATACATCAAGTACTTTCCCAAAATTTTTGATAATTTGACTACAATATTGAATTGGTTCATCAGATTTTGAGGCATCTTTGGATAATGCAGCACTGAAACAAAAAGTTATTCAGCTAAAATTAAAAAAAAGGCAAATAATTAAAATAGTTGGCTATAAATATTTATATTCTAATATAGATAATTCATTTTTATTAGCGTTACTATACTATTTAAATTCAGCTGAATGCTTAAACCAACATATTATTCCTGAAACATAATTAGACAAACAACTTATGTAAAATGTAATTTTAAAATATTTTGTACAAAAGAAATGACTCCACCTAACATCAACGGCACTGTAAACACTTTGTTCTCCAAGTACATCTTCGGCATCAGCACCTGTAAAAATAAAATGTTACATACCTCTTAAATTAGTTTTATACAAACTTACCTTTATAACTTTCATTGATGATATTTGTTTAACCATCCCAATTCTTATGACAAGTATACTTTTCATAATACAACATCTAAATATAGCAGCAATTTTATATTAAAGTTACTTTCTGTACCCAGTTGAACACTAAGCAGACCAAACCTAAAATATTTAGTACATGGTGGTGACAAAACCCATTTTTGAAGGATATTGTATCAGAGTTAGAATCAAGGCATGATGTAAGTTAACTATTTAAAGTTATTTGCTTAATGATCACATTATCTAACAGTAATTTATTAGTATTTGGAAAACACTTTTTGATTTTTATCTTTCACAACACAAAAAAAAAAACAGGTTGGATTTTTGTTTAAAAGAGAGGCAAGTGTCTGCGTGCAAACTTTATGCTGAAATGAATGAAACATGCTCTAACCACCAACCTAAATTTAATGCTGCAGTGAATGAACCATGTTATATCAACCAACCCAAATTGACCAGCAAACGTAGGAGATCCATTGGCCCCCACCAAACCAAATTTAATGCTGCAGTGAATGAAACATGTTGTATCAACCAACCCAAATTGACCAGCAAACGTAGAAGATCCATTGGCCGTGGACACCAGACTGCTTTATGTCTCCCAGCTTCTGACATTTTGTGCACCTGCAGTTGTTGAATGATGAGCTTCAGATTGTGATGACAGGATTCAACAGTTATTGGGGACGTATGGATGGACACTAGAATTTTCAAGAGAAACAAATTCAGTTCATGGTTTGTATTAAAATTCACCCAATATATTTTACTAAACAGGATAACATTTTCAAAACAAATAATTTTTTATAAATTACTTTTAATAAAAAAAAAAAAAAAAAAAAAACAAGAACCTTTATCTTTTTGCTAAATAACAGTAATTCTCTATAATATATACATTATAGGCTGTTTATAAATTAAAATAAGGATAAGTATTTCTAACAATCAACCTAAATAGTGTAAGTGGTTAAGTTCACAAAGCTGGAGACAATGATATAGACTATATCAAGCAAGTCATAAAATTATTGCTAGTCTCAAACGAGAGATCAACAAATAATGATCAATTTCATAACAATCAAAGCAGTTACCAGTTAAGTGTTGTTTGAACAAAAATAGTTGAGTACTAATGTCAATAGCCTACTTTAAACAAATTCAGTACTTACTCAAGTTCCACAACCACAACAAGATAGAGTCAAGGGAGGTAACTTTGCTTGCAGAGACCACAAGCAACTTGGACAGTAGCAAAGAATTTACTGTAGAATAAAACAACTGCACACAGTGAAAATCGAAATACATATGAGCTTTCAAAAATTATGTTTAGCTTAAAAATAAATATAAACTATATAAACTATAAAAATTTGGCTTTAATAAAATTCTTACAATTGGATGACATAATAGCTTTGTCTAACGCAGAAGATCCTAGCTGGTATCCAAAGGTCACAGGTTTAACTGACTGGGTTAACAAACAACAAAACTTCTCCTGATGAAACACGAGCAAGCCAGGGTGAATTTTTTTCAGCTGGCTAGGCTTGACCTCTAACTGAAAAATTGACAGAGTGACATAAATTGAATAACATACTCAAATACTATCAATATCTAACACAACATTTTTTTTTACATTAAACAATAAATTAACTGTTAAAATAAAGTATATGTTGTGACTAGATGAATCATAAACATTAACATATGGGAAAGTAAATGTAGATGTTGCATTACCACATGAACATACTTAGACTAATAGTTTTAAATTTTAATTCAGAAAGGTCCTAAGTTTTATTGTTAGACAAAGTTTCAGCATATACCTAATTAGTAGATCTTAGAAAATAAAAGCTATATTAATCTGTCAGTACCTTGCAAATATGATCTGCATGTTCAGTAGCTAATTTGTGTTTGTCGTCATCTAAAATTATTAAAGCAGACAAAATAAGTTTGAAATTTTTAAACAAGTATCTAAATTAAACAATATTAATTTATTTTAGAAATTAATAGTTAAGTATCTGATATAAAGTTATACTTACTGAAGTAGCTGTCTTCATAAGTTTTATTAGAAATATCATTCTGTAAAATTTAAGATTTTATAAATTTTATTTAATAAATAATATTCACTTCTTATTTATCGCTGCATCCCAAATGTATATTTTTTATTTGAAGTTAAATAAAAAAAAAGAAGGTCAATAAACTAATTATTACCAGCAATGATTGCTTTATTTCATGTAGATCATTGGACTTTTTTTCCTGGTGAAAGAATATGTTCAAAATTTAAAAAACAATCATTTAGCTGAAATATAAAAATATACCATGCATGTAAGATTATGGTGAAAAATAAAACTTGCATATCAAAGAGAAATTACCTCAGATTTTATCTCTAGAACAAGAGATTCCAACCTGTTTGTCAGGGCAGCTGAGTTTATAGGCTTGATAATGAATATAAATATAGGATTAATAGGGTTAACTTTAACTATAATAATACAGGAATAAAAGAGAAAACAAAATCAAATTTCTTGAAATTAAGTTATTTGTATTCTTTAACAATAACATTTATTAAACAAGAAGAAAAACAAATGTTAAGGGCATTAATGATGACTTAAGTCATGATCCCCTGATTTTAATAGTTAATAGTTCAGTAAAGGAAAACCATATTGCTTTTATAAAATGCTAATAATTGTAAGTAGAAATAGAAAAGTAACTAATTAATGAAACAAACTATTCACTTCAAGTTAAGTACTTTTTTGGAGAATTGCCAGTAAGCTTTATTTATTTCAGATTATTGATAATTGTTTTTTTATGCTAATCAATTACTTCTTAATATCAAATTACTTACCGGATTAGAAAAGTTTTCAGATGTATTAAGACTTGAGGCACCAAGGCTATTATGTTTAAAAAAAAAACTATTTAGAGTGCAAAGTTTACTACATTTTATCAAATTTTAAACAGCCTAAAGAGTACATTGAAAAAATTATAAAATTTGCATGGTTTATAACTACCTCTGAAAAATAAATAAAGTAGGCCTATTGTATCAACATTTATTAAAGAACTCTGCATTATTCAATTATTATAATGTTAGACAATGCGGTCTGTACTTGGTCTAATAGTAAACAACTCCGCAATAGTGGCTTAGTTTGAAAAAATTGCTTATGTATGTTGTTTTACTTCAGGCAAGTGAATCTTATCAGTTCTATTAACTATCAGGAATTATCAAAAGTGGGAACAGTGCTGCTAAACATAACCCAAGGTCCCTGTAGAGCAAATGCTGTGCCCTAGGTGTACAATTCTTGTAGGCCTACTTATAATTTATTGATACTAACTCATCATCGTTATCCTTCTCTCCAATGTACTTGTCGATATCTTCAAGATCATCATCAGAATCATCTATAGTAAAGAAAAACAAAAAATTGTATAGAAAGTCTTTAGCCAAGTGATGACTAATGCTTTATACTATAGCGTTTAGCAATATTAAATACTATTGGTTCTATTGCTGTGCACATTATAAACAGAAGCATGTAGAGAGTAAAATATACTAGAGATAACAAACGAATTAGCTGGATTAAATGAAAGATCTTTCTAACAAAAGGTAACCACAGCTGACTTGCATTAAATGGTAGGACAAATTCAACACTAATACTAATACCTCCCTTTCAAGACACAGAATGTATTAATCTACAGATTTAGGAACAAGATAGTTTATTTCATTTATTTTAATTTTATTAACCTTATATCTATGATCTTTACCTATAGTGTATAAAGTTAATTTATTTTAAAGAAAAGCAAATTATTAACACAAACTGACCAATCACTGTAATATCATCTGGTTGTTGCTCCATTTGTGGTGTTTCACTAAACTGTGTTTAGCTTTATTCACTTTATGTTTATGTCATGGTTTTTATCTGTAAACAAAATAATATTACATTCATGCCGTATGAATAATATTAAATTTAGCATGGCTTGTTGTGCACTCATGGTATTGCTAAACAATTAAAACAACAAGTTAAACCTACACCCAAACAAATTGTCACTAGCTCAATGTTCAAAATAAATATACGCTATGCTGCTCTCGTTATAGACCTAAATAAATACTTCTTAATAGTATATTGGTATTCAAGAAAGAGAGCGGGTGGTATTGAAATTTTACAGGAAATTTGAAATCTCATTACTTAATTAGTTAATTTAATTATCCCTAAAGAAAATAAAGGGAGATAGTTTATTTTATTAGTTTATTAGATCAAATGTATTACGGCACAACACACAACAACATGCATGAGTGGTATGTGGCCTGACCTATTATATATATACATAATTGCTTTGAGATTATATTTAACTCAATGCAACAAACCCGCCGGTTGGTTGAGGCTACACCGGGGGTTCGTTCTGCTACGTCAGAGGTGGGCAACGTGCGGACCGCGGGCCACATGCGCCCCGCCACTGAGATTTGCTTCATGCCCGCGACCGAAAGTTCATCTCGTATTTTTTCCATTAGTGCAGGCAGTGAAAATATGCACTTTTACGGATTGCCAGTTTTATTTCAGTTTTGTCTATGCAACAGTAAAATTTTAACATTTCTAAATTAAGTGAATACATGAACCATCCAAAAAGCGTTAAATTGGTGATGAATCCCGTGTTTAATGAAGAATGGACACAAAGTGTGTTTACAGTGTCATCAAACAATTGCCGTATTTAAGGAGTACAATCTGAAACGACACCACGAAACAAAACATAATCATTTTAAATGGTACGGCCCTCCATTTAAACCCGCTACTATAAAGTGGCCCTCAAGCCAAAACAATCACCCACCCCTGTGCTACATAATAAATCAAAAATTTATTTACAATGATAGAATATATGTTTGTGGCTCCTCTGTGTTCTACACAAAAGAATTGATCTATCGGCGGCGGTATTTCTGGCGGTTTCAAACAAGGTGGTATACTAAGTCTGCACAAAAGATGGTTAAATTGACAAATTGTCAGAATGTCTAGCGATGGAAAAAATTGGAAGTTTTAACAATGTAAAGGAAAAGTCTTTTATGTCTGCATCAAATATCTCTGTAAATTGGTCGCGGTAATATTTTTGCAGATAGTATCGGGTGGTGGTAAAATGCGAGGCAAAAATATCACATGACCGACAGTTTTCGTGCCCTTCTCGAAGTTTGACGCCTCGCCTTTTCGCAATTTCCCAACACCCTTTTTCCAAGCTACCAATCTTACCCTATCTAGATCTAATATACTATAGTAACTAGATCTAAAAGATCTATAATCTACTAATTCCATTTACTATTTTTTAGGGCTAGATAATTAATTAATAATTAAAGTTGGGGCAATGGGGGAAGGGCTTGATGTCTGAAGGGGTGTTAAATAAATAATTAAAGGCCAAAGGTGGAACTAAGGCTAAGGCCTAATGTAAATGTAGATCTAGTTTTTAATAGTTTTTTAAAGTTTCGTTTGGGCCTAATTAATACTAATTATTACTAATTAATAATTAATTTAAATTACTTTAAAATTAAGGCTTAAAAGTTAATGCATTAGAATCTATAATGGATATTGAATTATGAATAATTATCATGAATAATTCACTCATTAGCTTATAGAATATAGATCTAGATTTCTAAATCTAATTCTAACCTAAATCTATGTGCTTAAGCTCTATGTTAAAGAGTCAGAGTTATTAAAAGACCTCGTACATACATAAACAAGGGGCGAATAACTCAAAGTTCCTTTATAAACGACAGGGTATATCCGAAACTGTACGTTAAAATAGTGTTAAGTTCTTATTTTACCCTAATTAACTAAATCTATTTATTAGAAAAAAATTAAAAAACATAAGAAGTCAATATATCTACTTGGTATATAGATCTAGCTTCTTAATTAACTAGATCTACTAAATAGTTTTTCAGGATAAATCAAATAAAAGTTTATCAAAAAAGGGATTTTCCCAATCAAACAAAAATAAAAGGAAAACTGAAATATACTACAATTTCTTATCTAGCTCAAATTTAGTTTCGTATTTTAATACAAATAATGACGTTAGTTAATTTTCCATTATACTACAAAGAGTGTAGATCTTGATCTAGATCTATATTCGATAAAACATATCCCATCTCAAAGTTTTTAGACTGGAAGCACAAAATTTTGATAGTTGATAGTTGAGCTAAAAAAAAATCTATATTATAATTTTTTTTCCACTGGTGCATTGTGGGATAGGTAGTGGTTTCGACGACAACTATGTAAACTTCCTTTTTATTATTATAAATTTCTCTCTGCTTGAAATTAATTTTATTGACTGAAAATTGTGTCTTTGAAAAATTAGATTCTAGATCCTCTATACCGAAATGTCTATGGTTGTTAAAAATACCGATGATTTGGAAGATTTAGATGAAGCCGAGCTTGAGGAACTGTATTCATGGGTTGATAAAATTCCACTTTCCCGACCAAAGCGAAATATCGCTCGAGATTTTTCCGACGGTGGTAAGTTTTAAAACTTTTTTTGCTTAAAATTAAAATCTCAAGTTAGTAGTTAGTCAAGTTAGGGTAATCTATCGTTTTAGCGTAATCAATTCGGCTGCAGTAGTAATGTGCGGGAGAGGTAACTGATAAATATATTTGTTTAAATAAGTATATTTTTAAGTCAAATTTTACAAAATATAACAGATAATTGATTAAAAATAACAATCAGTGACCAAAACAATTAAAAATAACATGAAACTAACTTTAAACTAGGTGTTTGAGATAAATATTAGTAGATAAAAACAGCGGCCATCTTTCCAAATAAAATTTAGAGTAGTTTCCCTTTATATAAATGTCTATTCGTATGTATATTGTGTTGACTTTGTTGTTTAATATACATAGTTGTCTTGTTAATAAAAGTAGGACAGAGGGCCATCTTCTTATCTTTAAGGCTATGTACATCCAAGATATCAAAAACTTTTGGGAGGTCCATCATTTATTAAACCCTTTTGTACGGATGAACTTGTCAATTATTATGTCGTCCATATTCTTCTTAAATGACGTTGGACTCAAAATATGGGACGGGGTAAAATATTTTTTTAAAAATGATGAAGAATATATTCGTTTTCGTTAGAAATTGTGATTATGCGTTCGGGTATAGTAGAACTGCGAAATGATATTAAATCAACATCTTGCTTTTAGTGACGATTGGGGGAAAGGGAATTCATCGGGAAAAGTATGACGTCATTTATGGACAGGACCGGCGCTACCTATAAGGCGAATTAGGCTGTCGCCTAGGGCGCTGTCCGTAGTGGGGGGCGCTAAAATGGGTTGGAGAAACAAATTGAAAGTTTGAGGGGGGAGGGGTGCAAATCGTAAGCTTGTCCCCGGGCGCCGGGAAGGGTCGCTATGCCTCTGATAATACGGGGGCATTAAAAAAGAGGGGGGCGCTTTTATTAAGTTTTGCATAGGGCGCTAAATAACCTGGCGCCGGCACTGTTTATGGGTGATCCATTTAAGCCTAGTTGTTTATTTTGTCTGTAGATATTGGTCTTATGCCTACACTTTTTCTGAATTAAGATTATTGTGTTTATAAAAAAAGTTTTAAATTTTAATTAGTTACATCTGAATACCACATGTTTTTTTTCTTTGCCTTCTGCTTTCATCAGTTTTTTATTTGTTCAGTAGTCGATGTTTACCCATCCCCACCATCCATTATTACAAAAACAAAAAACACCCACTATATAGTGATATCTCCCTCTAGAAAAAAAAAAACTAGATCAACCTATAGTTCGTAGGAAAATTAGAATCTATCACTTATTCGTCTGTTAAAAAAAAAAAGAAATACGTCATTTTTCTCAACCCCGCCGTTTCATCCCCCACTTAGCACAACGTCACCAAGTTCGCGGCGCGCGTGACGTCATTTGTCATTAGGCTAATGTTAAAGAAAGAGATACCGCGTAATTAAAAAAAGTCAAATCAGGCACTATGGCGTTGAGACTTTAGCGACGTTTAGTCTGACGAATAGATCTAAATGACTTTAGTACGGTAAATTATATTAGTGTTTAATTTACTACACAGTGGTATGCGGTGCTCCCTCTACTCTACAAATTCACGTGCTTTTAATTTCTGCAACCTGCTGCTCTGAGACGCTCGGCTCTAAAATGCCCGTGACACAGCGGCCTCCGGAAATACATTTAGGCTCCCGGTCCCACCTATAAACTTCGTCTGCCCATTAAGCTCCACGCAAAACTTGTGATTGATATGTGGACATAAGCGGCGCTAGTGGTGGTGTCAACAAGGACCCCTCCCCCTCCCCAAGCTCAGCTCTTAAAGATGCTCCGCACTTCATAAAAGACAAACTTGATGTTCAGACATCGTCGGACTCTGGCGTTTAGCCGACTGCCGTATTCCTAATGCACCGTCCACTGCTAACACTATTTCTATATTAAACTCAAGCCTATACTGAGCTCTGGCTTTTTACATTAGTTATGCCCCCATGTCGCGAAACTTGCTGTTTTGTCCAATTTTACCTGCAAGCCAATAATTGTCGGATTCTTGTCGAATATCGTTGCCAGGAGCTAGTTGGTTTGAGCCTTATTGTCAGAAGTTATTTCATTCCGAGTCAATGTAGTGCGGCCTATTTTCGTCGGTAGGCATTTAGTGGCAGGCCCTTTTTGGCGGGGATGGTGTGCTGAGGTTGTTTAACACCGCTTGGGACAACAGGCTTGCAATAGTTATGATCATTCGTTATGAGCAAAGGTATGCATGAAAACGAACACTTTATGTTCCTCATTTTCATTGAGCACAGCTTTATAGGAGTCTTCCATAATTGACGTCACTCACCCCCCCCCCCCACCCCGATCACCCTTTCATTATAGGTCATGAATTGCAGTCCTACGTAAATTGACGTCACATTAGAATAGCATATGTGACATCGGTTATGGACAACCCCATATTTCTCATTTTGGGTATTTGGTATCAACATTTTGACAACAAAGGTTGTTCAAAATGTGTATTGGAGGTTATGACTTGACATCTACCATAAATGACATCACGACACACTTAAGGAGTGGAGTAACTGGTTTAGAGACGACGTTTTACGCGGGAAAGGGGAGGGGTGAAACGTTATGTATTTGGCCTAATACAAAAATGCTGAAACAATTCTTTTTCGTTCGAATTATGGCTTGACTTCTTAACAGTAATAACAGGCAGGGCAAAAAGGTAATTTTCGACATTACGACTATTTCGTGACGGCGAAAATGGGGGGGGGGGGGAGGTTAAGGTGAAGAGATGTCAAAAAACGTGACGTCGTATATGATTAAATCACTAATTAAAGGGAAAAAGCATGAAAATATGAAATGAAAATAGCAAATAAACAATAACACAAACAATAACAATCAACTCAAACTAATATTTAAATAAACATTAGATATGTAGTGGTAGCTTTATAAAAATAGGGAGTTTCTTAAAGTATAAAACTTGCATCTCATAATAATAATTCTAGAACTGATGTTTATTTTCATTCAATTAAATTTTTTAAAGGGCAGAATAAAATAAAAAAAACACATGCTTTATATTTAAACACAAGACAATCGTATTTTATAGCAAACATCTATACTTTTCCATACAAATAGAAATTAAAGGGAAATGACTCAAAATAATATTTTTTTAAGATGGCCGCTGTTTTTAATAGCAAATTTAGTATCTGGAACATCGTTGTTAAACCTTAATTTTATGACATTTTTATTGATTTAACCCTTAAATGTGGTTTAATATTCAATTATCTTTAGTATTTTAGTAGAATATGCAAAGATATATTCATATTTAAGCCATATTTATTAGTTACCTTATCCCTACATTACTAGTGACGACCGAATTGATTACGCTAAAACGATAGATTACCCAAGTTAGATACACCCTAGATCTAGATCTGAGTAGTGTATAAATATTCGATTAATCTAGAGCAATAGGGCCTACATACATATTTTTTAGGGTGTGGGGAAATTGCGAGACGCGAAATGGCGAGGCGGGAAAATGCGAGAAGGGCGCGAAAACGGTCGGTCACGTGACTTTTTTGTCTCGCATTTTACCACAAGCCGATACTTACGCTTGGTGGTGTTGAAATGCGAAGATTTCTGCGAAAAATTTACCGCAACCGATTTTCAGTGGTATTTGGTCCAGACTTCAAAGACGTTTCGTTTACATTGTTAAAACTTCCGATTTTTCCGTCGCTAGACATACTGATGATTTGTCAACTCCCCCCATCTTTTGTGTCGACTTAGAATACCACCTTGTTCGAAACCGACGGAAATACCGCCGACGATAGATCAACTTCTGTCTTTTGTGTGGAACGCCGAGGCCACCTGATTTACCGTCTTTGAAGATCGACGTGCCCGGATCCGCTGCCGCCGCAAACATATTTTCTATTGTTGCATAGAAATTTTGTGTTATAGCCGCCGCCTACGATTTTTTTTCTAGCTTTTTTTACCATATAAATCTAAGCACAAGGAAATGCCTACATCATTTGGATACAACAAAATAAAGTGACGTCACCGATATTATCAGTTGCTCGTGCTATATCGTAAGCTATGGGCCTACTTCAAATATTTTTAAAACCAAGTTGAACTTATCTGAATTTTTTGGTTTTGGTGGTGGTGTTATTTGGGGTCTTCCATAAATGACGTCACACTCGTAGGGGGGGGGGGTCCTGTAATTTTATGACGATGTGTGATGAGGGGGAGGAGGGGGGGGGGTAGATGTGAAGTCACACTATAAAAAAGCAATATTAGAAAAAGAATTTTAGACGTTTTTTCGCGTTTTAGAAAACTGTTTTAATACATTGTAATAGGAATTGATTAAAATACTCTATTTTGACCGAAATTAGACAAGATTTTGGGAAAATATCAATGTTTTAAAAAAACTCAACTGCTGGTGACAACAATGAGCAAGACATTGCCAAAATTACAGAAATGAGAAAAAATACAAATTATAAAAAACGGAAAACAGATGTTGAGCGTGCGGATGATGATGATGAGAACATGGGTGCCAGTGTTTTGTTGGTGGGATGAACGAGGAGGTCAACTGTGATGAGAATGTGAAATGTTGTGAATGTGGATCGGAAGAAGTAGCAAAAGAAAAATGTATAAATAGGAGTCTAATGAACTGGGTTGGGTGTACTACGTGTGAAAGATGGTGTCACAAGGTGTGTTTGATGACTGATTTTGTTTGTAAATTTTGTTTGTAATTAAAATTACTTAATAAAAAAATAAATTGCACTTTTTAGAATTGTTGATACTTTTACACTTTTTGCAAGTACAAAAATCCATAAATAGATGTTGCAAAATATCTCTCCTGCTGACAAGATTATACCAATTCACAATGACACAGCTCACGTTTGTATAAACATGAGCGGGCTAGATTTTTAAATTAATGCCGACAGAGACGGGATTTTCCTCTCGCTAACAAGAGCGGGCGATGACAGTAGCACAGCAACGATGTTAGGATTTTTAAATAGATAGATCTAGATATAGATCTATCTATCTTTTTAGTATCTAGATAAAATTAAAAAATAACAACATACAACACTCGTGTTAAAGGGTATGGTTAAATGCTTGTTTATTTTTAAAATATTTAAAAAAATAATTGAAATAAATAAAGATGGAAAAAAAAAGGAAAAAACTTTTTTCGCAAAAAGTGTCTCGCTATTTACCCTTAATTCCGCAGGTTTGTCTCGCATTACCTTCTCGCATTTTCCCGCCTCCCCATTTCGCTTTTCGCGTCTCGCAATTTCCCCACACCCTATTTTTATAGTCAAATAGATTAAAATTTGAAATGCCTAGGCCTACACTACTTGATTATATTTTATAAGTAATAGTCTAGTAATAAGTAGATCTAGATCTAGTAATAAGACTATGCTGAGTATAAAAGTAAAAGATCTAGAATCTAGATCTATAGCCCCCAGTCTATAGGCGAGACTATAGGCCTGCTGCCTAACTCAACTAAATTCAACAAGTCAATTGTAAACTTGGCCTCTAGAATGAAGACTAGAACAGACTAGGTCTATTGATTCTGTTCTCAGTTTCTAATTAACTTACAAATAATAATTAATAGGCCTAATAGTTAGGCTTAATGATTAAGTCAACAGTATTAATCAGGCAAAAATCTGGAATATTAGCTGCCAGGTAGTATGTTATTCCTTCCGTCAGTCATCAGTATAGCAACTTTGTATTTGTTTTTAAAGCTGGAGAATGTGGTCATGCATGGGGAGGTCTCTCTCTGAGTGTCGACACACTGAAAAACATGACATGGGAAAGGTGTGAAAGGAAATCTTGCAGACATTGTTGTGCGATGTTTTTTAGCATAGCAGAGCACAGGGATAAGCTTGTTTATAATAGGCCTAAATAGCTTTTACATAACAAGACTGATTAGTCTATGAGTATGATGTCAGTTATACTAATCCTTTATAGTCTATGGCCTAAAAATGGACTTTGTCTTATTTATTTATTTTAGGCCTCTCTATGGGTACTCTCACAAATGTCAGAAAACTCCCCAATTTTAAAAAAAAAAGCTTTATTAAATAATTTGATTGTGTCTTTTTTTCTAGATCTATAACTTCTACAGATTGTACAGATTTATTATTTAGGCCTAATTATCAATATTTAGATCTAGTTTTGTGCACTAAATGTTAAATTAAATGTGCCATTGTGTTAATGATACATGTTTCTTCAAAAACAAGACAACTCAGCCCCGTACATACCATTTTTTATTTCCTTAAAACACAAGCTAGAAGTCTAGTACTAATAGCTTCTTTTGAAATTTGTCAAAACTGATTCAGAATTAACAGCAATTTGAATATTGTTGTATATTCGAGATAAAAAATGTTTGATCATCCTTTCCAGTGATGATTGCAGAGTTGATAAAACACTTTTTGCCACATATAGTATCTCTGCATAACTACACACCAGGCAATGCTACTAAAATGAAACTTGATAACTGGCGACTTCTGAACAGGTACAAGTTCACAGAAGAGAATAGGATTTTCAAAATGCTTTCATAGCATTAGGTGCCTTAGTGTTTAACTATTTTAATGCTTTACATTTTATCTTAGATATCTTTTAATATGTAGGCCTACTTCTGGGTTAGCCATAGCCACATATTTTTATAGCTGAGTAGTCTTCAGCTGCTAATAACAGTTCAGTCATAAAGCTAGCTGTATAACAATATAGTGTTACAGTTTTTATTATTATAAGCCATTTCAGCTTCAGAAAAATGGGTCTATGGCTAGTAAGAATTAGCTACATTTTTATTTAGGCTCTCTAAAGCATTTATTTCATCTTTATTATATTTTCTAAAATTCCATTGCAAAGTTATTTTGAGTTGTTGCTGTCTAAATATTTTAAAAATATTCTACAAATATATACAACTTTTTAAAAATTAGCTGCTTATTCTCTAAGGCTAACTCTCTAAAGCATTTATTTCATCTGTATTATATTTTCTAAAATTCCATTACAAAGTTTATTTTGAGTTGTTGCTGTCTAAAGTATTAGATGCAATATCATTTCTAATTTTGAGCTAACTACCATCACTTCTGAAATGTGTTTCTCCTATTACAATTAAACAATTCTGACTTATAGATTTGTATATTAATCTATTCTTTTATCCATTTTTTTCTCTGCTAGTTTCTATTAATTTTTTCTTTAAAAAAACACTCATTCATTAGTTTTACACATTGTCAGTCATAAATTACAGTTGTTAAGGACAGGATTTCTATAAGGCTGACATAGTCCATAGTATAAAGTACATTATTTAGGAGTTTATAGGTGACAAAATTGCAAAATATTTGCATTTCCAATATTATTTTAAAGTCCTTCCTTTTTAAATAATATTCATGAAATCTTTGTGTTTAAATGTTTTTTTTAAAATAATCTTTTACTATTACCTACTTTATGAAAACATCTTTTGATGGAAGAACCTGGACTTATATGCTTTGTCCTAGGTTTTACATTAATGTGGAAAAGGCCCTGACCTCTTCTGATTTAAAGTTAGTTATATTGTAGACATCCATTTCTTTTGACTTTCAGTTCTTGTCGCTGAGGTAGTGAAACACTTTTTACCTAAGCTTGTTGAGCTTCACAACTATACTCCAGGCAGCTCCACACCTCAGAAAATGCAAAACTGGTTTTTATTAAACAGGTGATATAGGGTTGACTTAGTTGTTTTAATTTAAATAAATAACAACAAGCTGTCATTTGTAGCATGCTACTTAATTTCTTAAAGAATGGCTTTTAAAATAAATATTCTAGAAAATATGCATTTATTAAATTTAGATAACTATTTTGTAGATATTTTTTTTTTTATTGACAACAATTATCACTAAAGTTGCAGTTACTTTTTGCTTATGTTTAAAATTCTTCCTTGTTTAAATTTTTATATTTGAATGCTTCAACAAACTAAATACATTATTATAATATTTCTTTTATTTTTACATTTCTTTTAGTAGAATTTAAATAAACTAATCAAGTTGATAAAATGATATCTTAACTAATAATTGTGTTAACTAAACAGCCTATAGCATTACATTTTTATTATCCTTGAAACAATTAAGTTTATTATAAAAAAATAAAGTTTTTAAATTTAAAAAATTAATAGTTTGATGTAGGTTTAAAAGTATTTTTCCGAATTGCTATTTTAATGAGTATTTTTTTAAACACATTTTCTTAAAGATTGCAATCAGTAATTTGAGCTCCCCCTATTGTTTTTATTTCACTGATGGCTGTTTACAGTAAAGTCAAAATAAACTTTTGTAATTCAAATGTAGAATATCGTTTTCAAATGTATACTTACATCCTCTGTGTAAAGAGTAGCACTTTTAATGATAAATTCTGTTCAATTCACAGAAAAGTTTTTAACAAACTTAATTTTCAACTGACTGAGGACCTCATCAGAGAATTATGTTTAGGGAAGCAGGGACTTATTGAAAGGTTTCTGATGCACGTGAGGGCTAAAATAGAAAGGGCGATGTGGGATATGCAGAAGGATGCTGGTGACAGAACAGAAGTCGCACACCATCAAACCAAAGCTTCAGTGCGTTTGACAAACACAAAACCTCCAAAATCTAAACATGTAGATGACAAACCAGAGGCGGATCAAAATATCAGTAAGTTGTTTTGTAACTCACTAAACTTGTGTCTCAATAGAATGTTTGCGCCTTTTTGTATTTGTTACAATTTTCTTCATTTGATACTAATTTGGGAGTTTGTCTTTGTTGAAAAAAATGTGCTAGTACTCTCCTGTATAGGTAATCAAAAAATACATTCTACTGGACATACATCTATATTGGTTTATTGGTTAAATTCTTGACTTAAATTTCTCCTTGGCAGTTTACTAGGCACTTTGTTTTGTTTTGTTTGTTATCAACAAGTAAAATGATCTTAATTTTTTTTTCATCCAGTAACTTGGCCGTATCCATTTTGTATTGCCTCATTTGCTATTTCTAAGAGACTATGTGACATGTTTCTTCTTACATTAAAAAGAATGTGCCTGCTCTCAAAACGTAATAATCTTTTAATTTATGATGTGTGCATTCAATGCTTTGCCTAGCATCAAATTATATTACTAAAATGCCATTCTTTTAATTTATTAATTAACAGACAAAAAACATTGAATTTTGATAAATGTAAGATAAATACCATCATTATAACATAAGATATATAAACTTATACATTTAAATTGTATGTAGTGCATGTTGTTACATTAATGTTAACTTTAATCCGTAAAAATGAAGTTATAGAGCATGCTTTAAATCAGATGTATTTTCATCATTACATGTTTTTGAATGTCTCTTAATTGTTGGAGGATGTATTGCTACATGGTGCTTGAATTTGTTACATGTGTTAGTGTTGGCCTAGAGGGATTGACATAGCTCACAATTGAACATTAAAGTCATAGTTCAGTGTTAAGTACTATTGTAGAAATGAATGCCTACTTTGATCCTATTCAGATATGCAAAATAACACCTACAGCCATATTGAAAGAAATAATTACAGAACAGAAGGTATGTGTGTAAAGTTGATTGTTCAGTTTTATAAAGATAGTCTTCATGGATTGTTAAAAATGACAAGCATTTGAAAAAAATAATTTTTAAAATGTTAAAATATCAAACAAAAAGTAAAAATTAATTGTAATTTATAAATTACTTTTGAAGTAGTTCTTCACTGGAATATTCTTTAACTTAAAAAACCATTTTTAAAATGGGAAATAATAGATTTGTTCCAAAGTATTATTGCAACAAATGTGTTATAAATTAATTAATGTTGTTTATTTGTGGTGACATGGTTTGTTTTAAATATATGTGTTTTGATCCAGTGTTTTTTTTATCATATTGTTTTATTTGTATGCTAGAACAACTATTTTTGTATGTTAAAATTTCACATTAAGCTGACAAAAAGACACACATAAGAGACATCTAAATATTTTAAAGCTTAGCTGTACAAAGTAGGTTTGAGTCTTAGGTTAAAGGCCTGTGTTTGTTAATGAAGAGCTACTAAGCCAATAAACAAATATGTGGTTAGGCCAACTACCTAGCTCTGATGGGTGCTTAACTCACAATAGGGATAGTAAAAGTTGCACTATCCCTTCATAAACCGGGATCACAAAAACAGGTGATCTCTACTTCACTTGCCCCATGGACTGTCAGGTTTGCAAAGTGAACTTTACATGTTAACTATTTTCACAATTTAGAAAACTAATTTTTTTGTTCTGTGTCTTCATAAAACATTGCATTTTGAACAAACACTTTTCACTAGATGTTAGCTTTGTGGTTTACTGACTTGGTGGGGATGTTAGTGTTACTATCCACCAAATTTGAATATCTATTTGACACATTTTTATCTTTCAGTGTCACCAGGCAGAACTAAACCAGTTGCAGCTCCACCACCAAAAGGGTGAGTCCTTAAATTTTACAATGTTAACTTTTTAATCCTCAAATCCTCACTCTTTAATTTGTCCTCTTTATTTAAAATTTACCATGTTACAATATCTATCTTCAAATTCTCACTCTTACAATTGTCCTCCTTGTGATATTTAAGATTCTAATGATGTTTTCATCTTTTGAAAGGCATGTGAAAATTAAACAGTCTGATGATTTAGTACCAAAAGCAATTTATGAAGAGAGAGAACAGGAATGTTTAGCTAAGGAGGAGACAATCCAGGTATAGAACCTATTTAGCTCCCTTTCACAACAGGAGTGAGTAAAGCTAGAAATTGAATTGAGTAATGTTTGTCGCTTTGCTTCAATGCTTACATTACAATTGTATTAAGGTAATAATTTTAAGTAAGTAAGTTGATATATCTAACCTGTATATTAAAATATTTGGGTTTAAATTGCTTTTTTTTTACTTGTCAGATTCTTCAAGCAAAAATTCGCAGACTTGAGCATCTCTTGCACCTGAAGGATGTCAGAATAGAGGAACTTCAGGGCAGGCTGGAATCTATAAGACCCACAGGAAAGGGAAAACGATAAGCAGCTTTTATTCTAGAAATATTTTACTTCTATCACTGTTTGTTGTATTACGATACATAATGGCAAAAATCTGCTTACAGATTCTGTGGAATTATTCAGTGTTTTGCAGATGATGTGTTGGATGTCTTTATTCATTTATGTAGTTTGACACTGATTAGTATATGATTTAGATTTGCTTGTCATGATTGTCTAAAGTGTAATGGTCTAAGATATATACTTGTCTAAAATTTCTATGACCTCCTGCAAACATGGAGTAAAGAATTGAAATTATTAAGTCTTTTTCTAATTAATGATGGTTAATCATCTCCATGGACACATAATAAGTTATTAATTGGCTACCGTTCATTGAGGCAACACAAACTAAATAAAAACTACTTCACCTGCCACTGAAGGAACACTAAGGTTCAGCTGCTGTTTAGATTTGATAACTGCTATGTTTTTATACTGCTACTGCTAGACAAAGAATGTACAAATTATTATGAATAATTGCTCATTTTATCCTGTCTTGATTACACAATACTCAACATTCAAGAAGCCTTTAATAAATGACAATTTATTTTTGTAGTAACACCTTTACTAATGCACATTGATATTTACTTATTTTGATACCAAAGTCAAAATTATGTTAATTCACTGGCCGGAAGAGTCAATCCTGTCTGGACACTTATTTTCTAAATTATTTAAAGTTGTCGAAGTGTACAGTCTAATTTAAACTAAGTTTCTATAGTAAGCATGTTGTTTTTGTAAATTTTGGTTATGTATATTGTTTTTAGATAACATGATTTTTATAATATTAAAAAAGAAATGACACATATAACATAATCCCTGTCACTTCTATAAAAATATATCTAGGGAAAGAACTCAATACCATTTATTTTGTTCTCTGTCAGATTATTTCTAGAGAATGTTTTGGCATTTTATAAAATACTGGGTTTCACCCTTACCAATATCATATATAATTGATATTCTCAATAGGGTGGGGTAATTTACTGGGTTGGGGGGGGGGGGGTAATGTCTTAACTCATAATATTCTTAGAACTGGTCATATGTTTCTGCTTTACTAAGTGCTGGTCAGCTGTAGATGTCTATTAGGTCATGCTGATCTTAGCATCCAATAACAGCTGTAGCTTTGTGATATTTTCACACAGCAAGTATGGGACCCCAACATCAAACACAACCCTAGATCTGTCTATGTTTATTAACAAATCATTCCAAAGCTTTGTTTTTGATCAATATGACAATATGAGCTTCCATAAATTCAGTGATAATAAATGTTATTATTTTAGTTTGTTTATATATGTTTCATTTAATTAAATCAGCCCTTATTCACACTTCATCTTGTAAAATCAGTCACTTTCATTAGTCAATTAGAAAATCTGTGATGTTTTAACACTAATGGGTACTTTTTTACTTGGTGTTAACCTAGCCATGTTTTTTAAATTATATTTATTTATACAATATTTATTTTATATTTAGCGAGACTTAGAGCATTGAGTCAAACTGTGAATACCATGTCATTAAATGAAATATTAACAAAATTCTGTGTGTGCATTGAATAGTTTCGTTTCTCTCTGTAATGCTGAGTTTTGTACTTATGGAAGTATTTTTTGTAACACTCCAAAAGAAAGGGGACAACTCTTATTAAGTAATACGTTATGATCTGATGGACACAGTCAAATCAGTAGAAGGTTTCTATTGTCAATGTGTAAAAACATGTTTTTACTGTCTGGCGAGAGTGCACATGAATGTTAAATACAAAAGTCCTGAGTTCGAAACCCGCGCAGATGAGGCTTGTTAGCTGGGGACAACCACCCATCTAGGAGAGAAAATGCCTAAATCAAACAACTGCTGCCTTGTAAATTGTTCATAGGTGTACAAAGGCTAGGGAAGCAAATCCAAAACAAAAATGCAGGAGGAGTCAACGGCCTATATAGCGCTTAGCATGTTGACTCCTAAGTTTTTAATTGTATTGGATGGAATCCCCCTCAAGAACAAAGAAAGACAATTCTCTCTGTCTTTGGGATCATTGGCAGTGACCCTGTAATAGTATATTTCATTTTCAGTTATCTTCTGCATTTCCTAAATAGATTCAGCATTCTTACTGGGGGAGGGGGGGGGGGGGTCAGAGGTCAGACAGTAGAGCATACAACTGCTAGGCTGAAAACCTCAGGTTCATATCCCAGGCTCAAGTCTGTAGGATTTCAGAAGTTTTAAAATTTAAAAATCTAAGCTTAGCAAAAATAGCTTAGTAAAATAATGTTTTTATTAGGAATTGTTTTTTAAATGGATAGTTACATTTTAAATGGTCTCTATATTAAAAAAGAGTACAAGACAAGATATGTGGTAAAATTAATAATTTCTGAAAATTAGTTTTATCATAGTAGTTCTACAGTTTGAGCAGGTTTTATTTTCAGAAGTTTTGTAACCATTTGGTTATATAGTTTCTTTTTAAATTTTAGGGTGAAATCACTTTCTGGGCCTTCTATAAAGCCTAATGAAGATTAATCCCTTCAAGATTTATTTATATTTTCTGGAAGCTTAATCCTTCCATGTTCACCTTAAAAATTAAAACTGCTTTCAGCTATGCTTGCCGACTATCATGATTCTCTCATTTCACAGAGTCACACTACACATTTAAGCTTTTTGTCACAAAAAATCACATTCATACAGTCTTCCAGAATTATAAAAAGAGTACCAGATATAATTTGTCAAACATTTTATTTTAAATAAATTCTAAAATAGCTGATGCTAGTCATTGCTGTTTTACGTCTGCATAGTAGTTGTCGCTAGTACTTGAAACATGGAACAACTGGAAGAGAAAAGAATTTGTATGTTATTAAGTTGCAAAAAAAATTATAAAGAAAAAGACAATTCGAATAAATTATAGAGAAATTGTTCAAATAGTTAATCTTTGACTCACCAAAATTGTGGTACATTTGTTACAACACTTGTGTAAGTTTTCAATGAAGACAGAACTGTGCCACTGTTTCACACACTGCCATTTAATTTACTATTCATGACTGGAGGATGTTCCTCTTTTCACCTGGAAAACCTTTGGGTCAGGGATGGCTGAAACAAAAATACAGAATCAGAATGAAAACAAGTTTTAAAAAAATGGAATTTTTGATGTCTCAATGGTTCGTTGAAAAAGTTAATAGTGTATGCAAACTTACAGGCAATATCAAACAAATTTGAAACTAATCAAAATTTAAAAAAAACTATGGTCTACCTCCTTGGCTTGAACAACTGTTTCCCTTTGTGTTGTGCAATAAATCATGTTTTCAAGTTGCTTCCCTTGGTTACATCTGCATTTCCTCAAACACAATGCTCAACTATATCCTGTAGTTATGTGTCCTTACAACAGTTTGACCTATTGAATATGTAAATAATCACACAAGTAGTCCCATACACAATTATCCAGAAATCAAAATTTACAGATTTGCTATTACTGACATTAATGGCGTTAAAGTAAGAAAGAAGTAGAAGTTCCCTTTTCAAACATGGGGCAAGTGATGTAGAGTTTGCCTGTTTTGTGACCTTGGCTTATGGAGGGATAGCGTGGTCAGCACTATGCCCATCTGCCTTTACTTTCCCTGACATGAGTTAGTAATGTAGCCTATAGGTCATGCTGTCTCACTTATAAAAATAAAGTTTGCAAAAATAAAGGAAAGTTAATTATTCTCACTATGTCAAAATAACTACAAAATTTTTGTCTACAAAAAGCTATGGTCAGTCTACCTTCAAGAACTACCTTTGTTCTTTCAGTCACTCTTGAAGCTTCTGTCCTATGCTGTATATCATACACCTGGTTTGCACAAACTTGATCTTTTATAAGGCATGGGGGGGGGGGGGAATTTCTTTAAAAACATTTAGTAGTCTTTACAAGAAAAATTGTTTACAAGAGATGTATAAAAAATATTGAAAAAGAAAAAAATAGTCAAACTACCCGTCTTGAACAATTTTCCTCACATGAAATCAGCCAAGGAAAGGAAGCTCCACTTGTGACACAAAAGAATTGTAAACAACTACAAAACCATGGTGAAATTTGAGGAATAAACATGGTGCTTGTTTCATGGATCCTGAAAGAAAGAACTTGTCAAGGATAAAAAAATTACAATGAGAGCTGCTAAAAGCACTGCTAATTAAAATGAAGTACCTACACATCTAGAACATTGACTCTTGACTACACATGAAATCAGCCAAGGGGAGGAACTATGAAAAACTTTTGACATACCTCAGCTTTGCTTGAAACATCTCAACCAACTCGTGTAGTCATGCTCTGAGCACAGCCTCTGTAAAAAAAAAAATAGAAAGTAGTCATACAGTCATAAGGAAAACAAGAAAACCAACATTTCACTGCTATGCCTGGTTGAGGTAGGGGAAAAAGAGGGCGGGGCGGGGGGGGGGGGGTAAAATTTAGAAAGTAAAATTTAGTGTGCACAAATATGTCAAAAGGGCTGTAAAATAAGTATAAAAAGGTTATGACCAAGTTACCTGTAATAAAACATGGGTTCATTTTGGCATCATTTAATTCCTTCCTCAGGCCAGACAACAGATCTGATTTGTGCTCTGTCCAGTTTTAAAAAAAGTGAAGTAGTCCAGTAAACAATCAAAGAAAAAAGAGCTCTTGATTGGGGGTGGGTGGGGTTGGGGGGGATGGAGAAATACCCTCATGGATCCTTTAAATAAATTAGAATCAAAAATGGACAAAATAAATTATAATATACAAGTTTAATTGATGTACATTCAAGAAATAAAACTAAAGGTAAAGGTCACCTGCCTTTCTTGAACAAGTATTTCTCTTGGTCACAGATGTGTTGGCTGGGATGTTCTAATGCCTATTAGAGCAACAAAGTAGTAATGAATAAATTAAGGAATAAGAAAAAAAAACTTGAAATGAAACAGTTTCAGTTTTAAGGGCAGTTTGACAGCCAAAGATTAAGATGTAGAATAAAGATATCTAAGATACATTACAAAAGGCTAAAAATTTGTAAATATATGGTCGACTTGCCTGTCAAGACAGCTATTTCTTTGAAATAATAGGTATGCTCAAGAAGAAATAAGAACCTAGAAAACCGAGAATAGAAAACCTGCAATAAATCTGATTAATTAAGAAAGGCATTTATCTACCAACAGGCAAAGGCTTCACAGTTTGACACACTGGTGTTAAGGTTTCTCCAAGCACAGGTCGAACCACTTCCTCTCAAACCCAAAGGCAGTGCTACCAATAGGCAGAGACTGGTAGTCAAAGTTAGTGCTGGAGAGATCCAAAAAGAACAATCATAGAAAACCTGCAATACATCTGATTAATTAAGAAAGGCATTTATCTACAATTAATTAACCTGCTACAGACTACTGCTACCTGCATGGCCCCATCAGTGCTGTAACCATTACTCTCCCAGCATCAGCCCCCGCCACTGGCTGGCTAGACCAATATTGCGAACTTCAGACATGGGATTTCTTGGTGAACACTGGGTGGGGTGACATGCTACCTCACTATTCATGTTCTATCCACTACTCACCAAAGATTCAAGCACCTGAAAAAAAACAACCTTGTAAAGGAAGAAAAAGCATGGAAATATATTAATACATTTGTTTCTACCCAAACACCATGCTCAACCCACTGATGGAGTTGTGTGCCCAACTGATATCCCTACCCAAGGCAGCGCTACCAACAGGCAAAGGCTTCACAGTTTGACAAACTGGTGTTAAGGTTTCTCCAAGCACAGGTCGAACCACTTCCTCTCAAACCCAAAGGCAGTGCTACCAATAGGCAGAGACTGGTAGTCAAAGTTAGTGCTGGAGAGATCCAAAAAGAACAATCATAGAAAACCTGCAATACATCTGATTAATTAAGAAAGGCATTTATCTACAATTAATTAACCTGCTACAGACTACTGCTACCTGCATGGCCCCATCAGTGCTGTAACCATTACTCTCCCAGCATCAGCCCCCGCCACTGGCTGGCTAGACCAATATTGCGAACTTCAGACATGGGATTTCTTGGTGAACACTGGGTGGGGTGACATGCTACCTCACTATTCATGTTCTATCCACTACTCACCAAAGATTCATGCACCTGAAAAAAACAACCTTGTAAAGGAAGAAAAAGCATGGAAATATATTAATACATTTGTTTCTACCCAAACACCATGCTCAACCCACTGATGGAGTTGTGTGCCCAACTGATATCCCTACCAAAGGCAGTGCTACCAACAGGCAAAGGCTTCACAGTTTGACACACTGGTGTTAAGGTTTCTCCAAGCACAGGTCGAACCACTTCCTCTCAAACCCAAAGGCAGTGCTACCAATAGGCAGAGACTGGTAGTCAAAGTTAGTGCTGGAGAGATCCAAAAAGAACAATCATAGAAAACCTGCAACACATCTGATTAATTAAGAAAGGCATTTATCTACAATTAATTAACCTGCTACAGACTACTGCTACCTGCATGGCCCCATCAGTGCTGTAACCATTACTCTCCCAGCATCAGCCCCCGCCACTGGCTGGCTAGACCAATATTGCGAACTTCAGACATGGGATTTCTTGGTGAACACTGGGTGGGGTGACATGCTACCTCACTATTCATGATCTATCCACTACTCACCAAAGATTCAAGCACCTGAAAAAAAACAACCTTGTAAAGGAAGAAAAAGCATGGAAATATATTAATACATTTGTTTCTACCCAAACACCATGCTCAACCCACTGATGGAGTTGTGTGCCCAACTGATATCCCTATCCAAGGCAGTGCTACCAACAGGCAAAGGCTTCACAGTTTGACACACTGGTGTTAAGGTTTCTCCAAGCACAGGTCGAACCACTTCCTCTCAAACCCAAAGGCAGTGCTACCAATAGGCAGAGACTGGTAGTCAAAGTTAGTGCTGGAGAGATCCAAAAAGAACAATCATAGAAAACCTGCAATACATCTGATTAATTAAGAAAGGCATTTATCTACAATTAATTAACCTGCTACAGACTACTGCTACCTGCATGGCCCCATCAGTGCTGTAACCATTACTCTCCCAGCATCAGCCCCCGCCACTGGCTGGCTAGACCAATATTGCGAACTTCAGACATGGGATTTCTTGGTGAACACTGGGTGGGGTGACATGCTACCTCACTATTCATGTTCTATCCAATACTCACCAAAGATTCATGCACCTGAAAAAAACAACCTTGTAAAGGAAGAAAAAGCATGGAAATATATTAATACATTTGTTTCTACCCAAACACCATGCTCAACCCACTGATGGAGTTGTGTGCCCAACTGATATCCCTATCCAAGGCAGTGCTACCAACAGGCAAAGGCTTCACAGTTTGACACACTGGTGTTAAGGTTTCTCCAAGCACAGGTCGAACCACTTCCTCTCAAACCCAAAGGCAGTGCTACCAATAGGCAGAGACTGGTAGTCAAAGTTAGTGCTGGAGAGATCCAAAAAGAACAATCATAGAAAACCTGCAATACATCTGATTAATTAAGAAAGGCATTTATCTACAATTAATTAACCTGCTACAGACTACTGCTACCTGCATGGCCCCATCAGTGCTGTAACCATTACTCTCCCAGCATCAGCCCCCGCCACTGGCTGGCTAGACCAATATTGCGAACTTCAGACATGGGATTTCTTGGTGAACACTGGGTGGGGTGACATGCTACCTCACTATTCATGATCTATCCACTACTCACCAAAGATTCAAGCACCTGAAAAAAAACAACCTTGTAAAGGAAGAAAAAGCATGGAAATATATTAATACATTTGTTTCTACCCAAACACCATGCTCAACCCACTGATGGAGTTGTGTGCCCAACTGATATCCCTATCCAAGGCAGTGCTACCAACAGGCAAAGGCTTCACAGTTTGACACACTGGTGTTAAGGTTTCTCCAAGCACAGGTCGAACCACTTCCTCTCAAACCCAAAGGCAGTGCTACCAATAGGCAGAGACTGGTAGTCAAAGTTAGTGCTGGAGAGATCCAAAAAGAACAATCATAGAAAACCTGCAATACATCTGATTAATTAAGAAAGGCATTTATCTACAATTAATTAACCTGCTACAGACTACTGCTACCTGCATGGCCCCATCAGTGCTGTAACCATTACTCTCCCAGCATCAGCCCCCGCCACTGGCTGGCTAGACCAATATTGCGAACTTCAGACATGGGATTTCTTGGTGAACACTGGGTGGGGTGACATGCTACCTCACTATTCATGTTCTATCCAATACTCACCAAAGATTCATGCGCCTGAAAAAAACAACCTTGTAAAGGAAGAAAAAGCATGGAAATATATTAATACATTTGTTTCTACCCAAACACCATGCTCAACCCACTGATGGAGTTGTGTGCCCAACTGATATCCCTACCAAAGGCAGTGCTACCAACAGGCAAAGGCTTCACAGTTTGACACACTGGTGTTAAGGTTTCTCCAAGCACAGGTCGAACCACTTCCTCTCAAACCCAAAGGCAGTGCTACCAATAGGCAGAGACTGGTAGTCAAAGTTAGTGCTGGAGAGATCCAAAAAGAACAATCATAGAAAACCTGCAATACATCTGATTAATTAAGAAAGGCATTTATCTACAATTAATTAACCTGCTACAGACTACTGCTACCTGCATGGCCCCATCAGTGCTGTAACCATTACTCTCCCAGCATCAGCCCCCGCCACTGGCTGGCTAGACCAATATTGCGAACTTCAGACATGGGATTTCTTGGTGAACACTGGGTGGGGTGACATGCTACCTCACTATTCATGATCTATCCACTACTCACCAAAGATTCAAGCACCTGAAAAAAAACAACCTTGTAAAGGAAGAAAAAGCATGGAAATATATTAATACATTTGTTTCTACCCAAACACCATGCTCAACCCACTGATGGAGTTGTGTGCCCAACTGATATCCCTATCCAAGGCAGTGCTACCAACAGGCAAAGGCTTCACAGTTTGACACACTGGTGTTAAGGTTTCTCCAAGCACAGGTCGAACCACTTCCTCTCAAACCCAAAGGCAGTGCTACCAATAGGCAGAGACTGGTAGTCAAAGTTAGTGCTGGAGAGATCCAAAAAGAACAATCATAGAAAACCTGCAATACATCTGATTAATTAAGAAAGGCATTTATCTACAATTAATTAACCTGCTACAGACTACTGCTACCTGCATGGCCCCATCAGTGCTGTAACCATTACTCTCCCAGCATCAGCCCCCGCCACTGGCTGGCTAGACCAATATTGCGAACTTCAGACATGGGATTTCTTGGTGAACACTGGGTGGGGTGACATGCTACCTCA